TCGGCTTAGATGGCCCTGCTATGAGGCGAGCCCGGCTCTTTGTTTCTGCGTTTTTGGTTTTTGTGGGTTTTTTGGTGGTGTTTGTTGTGGTGTGCTTTGTTCTTGTTCCTGGCTGGTATCCGATTAGTGCACATTCAAATTCAATCAAGGTGACTTGTGCCTCTCGGCACACATAGCGCCTCCACCAAAAGCGCAATGCCCCAAGGAACCGGGCATCGGTATGCCACTCACCGTGGTAGGTTCTGTCTTTGAACGGCTATTCGACTCAGCATGCTCACCACGCCGACTCAGACAGCAGTAAGTCAGCAGGCTGCTGCAAACGACTCCCGCTGCAAAGACCGAAACATCAAAGCTCGAACACGAAACTTGCTTGATCCAAGACACAAGACCTAACAGTGTCTTACGAACTGTTGCAAAAAACGTGCCTTTCTGGGCTCGAAGTCTGCATGACTCTTTACGCGGTTAATTCGGTTTTAAATCCTTGAAAGATTAGCTCACAAAGCTTCTTGGGATAGTGCTGCGTCTCCTTCCAGTTGACATCTTTGGAAGACAAATGATCACGACGACCATCACAGACACAGACCTTAAGACTCTTAAGCAAACGGGTACTATCAGTGCCTATTCTCCAAGTCTTCTTGACTAGCTGGTTCCTCTACATCAAGTCGACTGGGCACGCTTCAACGAAAGTGGAATATAGAGCTCTCTGTCTCAGAAACTCTTTCGTCTGGTGCGAACCCTAATACGCGCGCCGCTTTCGCCCTTCAATCGCTGCGAAATCAGCAACTTCTGACAAACGTAGAAACCCTTTCCAAAGCTTCTTTTGGGCTCGACACCACTCTCGAAGATGACTCATGTAATCCTGAGCGGACATCCTCCTGTCCGCACGGGATCCGTCATCTGCCTCAGTATTCAACACTTCCAAACTCTCTTCATTTCGGATTCCGGTGACGTGCAAAACTCGACAACAATCACAAGACTCTTACACGCAACTTTCTCTGTCTGCAGTTTCCCATGGGCTACACGACACTTCGTGAATTTGCACAGGTCATCTTGTGCTAGTTAAGAGAGAGTTACGGGCCAGGTTGCGAAAGCAAAGAACCACCAACAAAACCCGAACCAAACACAAACCAAACAAACACAAAACAAACAAACAAAAACCACGACCGCGAAGCAACCAGGGCGTATGTAATTCAAGAAGGGTCCTGTAGACCAAAAAGAGTGAGTAGGGTGAAACCCGGGGCTGCGAATTGAGCAAGAAGGCCTCTCAGCACAGCTGGACAGTGCAAGCTCTGTTCTTCTTCGTTTGTCATCGTTTGTCATCGTACACACTTTCTTCATTTAGTGTTGCAAAGCGGCCTGGTATCAGACCGCTGTGAGAAGGTTTACTTCCCAGCGCCGTGGGAGCAAGGCTCATTTGAATCCAACTTGCTCAGGCATGGTTGCACCAATGTCGAAAGACTTGTGTTCGAGGTGTCTGTCCTCATTGAGGAAGAAGAAGCCGTGATGATGTGAGCCTGTTGATGTCCCAGAAGGGGTGAAGAAATGCGTTGGTTGGATGGCCACCTCGCTCGTGCTTGTTGCTTTGTTTGGTTTTTGTGGTTTTGTGGTGTTTGGTTTGTGTTCTGAAAGTGAAGGAACCTGACCGTAACACTGGAATTAGAGTCTTGAAACTTTGAAAAAGTTTTGTTGCCTTTTCGAATGTTTAAGAGTTTTTTTGTAAGGAACTCTTTGTGTTTTGTATGCATATGTACAGTCCTCGAGTGACTGTTACTTTTGGCTCAAGTGTGAGTGAAAAGGGCGCGAGGGAGTGCGCTTCGTTAGCTTGAGTTGTTGTTGACTAGAAGAGTTTCAAGAGTGAGGGAACGCGTTTTGGAGTGTACCGGACTCATCTGCATTGCATGTCCTTTTGAGTCTCTGTCACTCTGGATAACCAAGCGCGCATCAAGTCGATTTACTTGCCAACTTTCTGGCCATCTCCCCCCGCTGTACCCAGTCTTGCCATGTCAATTTCTCCGCGCCAATACCTACTTTCCGCATCTCTCCATCCATCTCCAACATCTCCATCTCACCACTCTCCCCCAAACCCACGCAGTTCCCTCCAACTCCAGACACGGACAAGATCACGCAAGTCAACACTTACACTCAACTTCACAGGGGGGTCCGCCAAGTTCCCGTTATGATCCGGAAGTCTAAGCGCATATCGAATGTTTTTTCTGTAAAAGCTGATGGAATCCGGCGAGGAAGACCCAGGTTTCACTTGATAAAAACTTTTTTGATGATCCTGTAAGGGACTCAATCCCAAAATTAGCTGCGTCTGAGCTGAACATGTGGGTCTGTTGCTTGATCGTAAATCAAGAGGCATCGCCGCTTGATCGGGGTTGTGAGGCTGTTGAACAGCCAGCCCGGTGTGAACGTCTGGCCTCTCTGTGGAAACACAAGAAATGAAACACTCTTTTTGCAAAGCGCTTCCACAATGAATCGAAATGATGGGTAATAAACTTTGTTTCCGGTCTCCACTGACGCATGTTTCATCTGCGTTCGGGTCTGTTGAAACTGACAAACATGCACCCTTTCTTTTTCACTTTGATTCCTTCTTCTTCTCGTTTGGTTTCGAGCTTGAAAATGGACGGTTTTCGATTTTTTTTTTGAAGTTGTTGGGTTTGGTTCAGCTGTGTCTGGAAATGGTTTTTGGTTTGCAATGCCTTTCAGAATTTCTTTGGCCTTTTGGAATTTTTTTGGTCATTTATCACCTTTCACATTTCTTTTTTTTTTGCGACGTTTGGCATCGACCTTGCAACGCCCAATGGAAAAAAATCATTTGGGCTTTACTCAGACTTGACTTCTTTGAGTTTGGGGTGTCTCAAGGCTTCACTCTTAAGTCTTTTGGTTCTTGTGTCTTTGAGGTTTCTTCGGACACTTTCATTCTTTTGGAGTGTTTTTGGGTCTGGCGTATGGCTTCATCTCAGAGTGCTTGGGTTTGGCTTAGATTCAAGTTTGGTGATTTGTTGACGTTTGGCTCAGAATCTTACTGCTTTGGAATTTTTTGGGTTTAACTCAAGGCTTCACCACATTCCAGGAACGTTTTTCGGTCCAGCTTCGCGTGACCGATTCGGATTGGTTTGGTTTGGATGTTGTATTCTTGCCTGGGGTTGATTCATGGCCTGTTTGGCGCTGGACAAACACATGATTGTGAACATGTACGTGTGATGTGAGCCCACCTTGAACATCATTGGAGGAATGCAGCGACCCAACTGTGGCAGTGGAGTTCGAACAGTGGCAGCTTCATTGAGGGATCGGGTGGAAACAGGAGAAGTTTATAGTTGTGAAGGTGTAAAACAAGTGAGACATTCTCGCTCACACCGATTTCTGAACCGATACATGAGGACGGTATTTGTCGGTCAGCAGAAGGGTGTGAGAAGGAGGTTGGACATATCATCGAGTGCGACACGGAGAGATTGCAGAACCAGAGGAAGAAAGGATGTGAAGAGTGTAAGAGATTTTGCGTTGATGCGAGTTGTGAAAACAACATACGACATTTGTGGGCACAACGAGGAGTTTGCATGCTACGAACTGGTACAACGAAGAATTTAAAATTTAAACCTTGACTTCAGAATGTAGTGAATATTTTCATGGAAATGGGCCCAAAACATTTCAACCGAACCGGGGTGCGGGTTGCTCCTTTCGAGGCCTCAATTTGTATTGCAACGAAGAAACACATGCACACAAAATCTTTGCCATAATTGCCGCAGACGCAGGTGTTCAAAAAGATGTCGAAGCTTCCCCCACACAATTTTCCAGTTGCAGGCAGACAGCATTTGTTGAAACAAACATGGTGAATTGTGTTCAAACATGTGCATCATATGAGATTAGTGGACACTGTGCGTTACTGTTTGTTATGTTTCAACATTTGTTGGACTTGCATGGATTTGTATTGGACAAGAACGTTGTCACAATCACCATTTGGATTTCAACGCAGACAAAAAACCTGGGTTTCTGTGAATTTTTGAGCTCCACGCCATTCGCTCCGTTTGGGTGGCAGCCATGCTTCCCGGAAAAAAACGTTGGAATCTTTGGTGGCTGGTAGTTAAGCTTCGGGTTGGGAATGGTTGTGATTCTTTGTAGTTGATACAACCCGTGCACCAATTTTGTATGCATGCTACCATGAGGTGCTGCAGTGGAAATGGGTTTGCATCTAAGTTGATCCATTTTTTGTTGGCATGGTCCTAAGGCCCTAAGGTCCTATGGCCATGTTATCAGATTGTTTGTATGTAATGCTGATACCGATACCCGGTCTTGACTAAGGTTCAACAGCTCATCCCTACGCAGCTCAGCGCCAAGAGCAGATCTTGAAGGAGATCAAGGCTCCAAACAAGTCAGAGTCAGAGATGATTTTTTCACTTTTTTTCAAACGTCAACGCTTCAATTTCATATGAAATTAGAATTAGATAGAGTCGAGCCAATGAACACGGATGAACGTGACAGAGTAGCACTGTAATATTGTTCCTTTGGAATTCAGGCTGAAGCCGAGGCGTTGTGCCGCCTTTATGGCCACAGTCTCGGGTTTTGTGAAGATATCAACCAAGCCTGTGATTTTTGATTTTGATTTGGTGGATTGAATGAGGAAAATCGCTGGAAGAGATGACGGAGCGTTTTTTAAACGGTCGCTTTTCAATCAGTTTCAGTGGACTCAAATGGATTGAATACTTTTGCTACGATTGATGGCCACACCGCCTGCAGGATTCCTTCAAGTCCTTCAAGTCTCCGAATTGCAAGCGGCGTTTCTTTACACAAACAGATTTCAAGGTTCGCAGCAAAGCTCTGCCACCAGGCTGACTGGGATGTTTCTGAGATTTGGTTCAAAGTTGCCTCTTCCACCCAACCAACATGCACAAAGGCGGCTAGTGAAGACCGAATGTCCAACGTGCTTCCTCTCGATTGTTGAATAATGCAATTTTCCTTCGCTGCAGTTTTCAAGCGTCCTGAACGGACATTCTTTCCGTATGCCCCAACCTTGGTTGGTGCGAGCGGCTCTTTTCTCAGCTTCGATCTTGTTGGTTGACTTGTGTAAGTTGTCAAGTTGACTACATGTTCATATATAGATTGCTTTCCCTGGTAGTCGCCTTGTGCTGCCTGTCAGTTTGAGGTCTTGGGCAAGGACCAGGCAACTATTGTCATCAAGAGATTGGTGGCACAGCGGAAAGACGCAGGCGTGGGGCTGGTGAACATTGAGCATTCAGAAGATTTGCACCCAAGCGGAGGCATATTGAGGAAGACGATCAAGAACTGCCTCCATCAAGAGGATCTCAGGCTTGGACCTTTAACAGTAACACTCTGGAATCCAGAAAAAGTCACATTTTAGGCCAGTGAAAGATCCAGGCCGGCAACATGCAGCATCCTCAATAGAGTTAAGAGAACAAACATTCCTAAACTAGATTCCCAAATGGTTTCCACTTCCACTGTACCCATGGATCAACCCAAGAAACTGAGGTGTTGTCCGTGCTAAGTCAGCCACTCTCTAAGAGTGGCAACTTGCTCGACAAGACAAGCAAGTAGTATTTTGCAGCAAGCTTGCTGTATTCAAAACCACAGCTGTCCTGTGGATTGTAGCATCGGCTGCATCATGAACCTCCGAGGCCTGCGACATGGCAAGACCCTGCAGCTCCAAGAGATCAGTATCGCGGAAACCTTTGATGAGCGCCAACGACAAGTTGAGTTTGTTGAATTTCATATGGATCGTTTCGTGTACTGCTTGCGACTCATCGTGCATCGTATGCTGCAAAGGTCAGCCTTGCTGCGCCAAGAGATTCAGAAAGCAGCAAGGATCTGAGCAAAGAGATTAAAGAGTTTGCAGATTCAAACATATTCTGTGAGTTGCTGAGGTGCTACAAGAGGTATCTCGATCATCCACGCCTCAGCGTGTGTCCTGAGGCGTAGGCGGTCTTGATGGTTTTTATAGAAACACCACGGTACTGACTCGTACTAGTTAAGTTTCCCGCGTCCTAGGTAGTAGCTACCTAGTTACTACTAGCTACTAGGGGCCAACCCCCCCTTTAAAATGAACATCAGTACTGTAGTTGCAGATGTACTTTTTTCAGATTAGTTGATTAGCGCCTCTGCCAAGCAGTGGCAACTTCGTTGGGGACCTAAAACATTGCATGGGGTCAAAACGATGGTTGTTGCGGGGATGGCCTTGTTTGTTTGTTGATTCTGTTGATTGGGGATGGCCTTGTGGGATCACAAGATGCTTTTGGACCCACAGAGATGCATCAAAAAGGCCAAGACAGGATCCTGCAGCCATTCTTGGTTTTGAGCTTCTGAAATGGACCGTTTGTCAGTCATTGAACATCATTGAATCATGTGTTCGGACATCTGAATGTGCTTTAACTGACTGCAACACAACAACACTACCATATGCAATGCATCGCCTGGCAAGAGTTAAGCTGCAAAGCAGTCTATGGCAGCACTGCCCTCAGAGCTTTGTGGAAGAATCTGGGGCAAGAAGCATGTGACATGCTCCGCGTCTCACCAAGTCTCTCAGAACGGTTCACAGGCAAAGTGTTCAGACATCATTACGTTTTTGCACGTTTTCACCAGTTGCCCGCGCGGGAAGTTCCTACCTCAAACTAAACCAAGACAGATGACAAGTTCCATTCGATTGTGTATGACGGATTCAAATGACACGGGCCGCTTGAGATGCCCTGAGGACAAAGCTGAGATGCAAGCTCGGTGGCCTGCCGTCGATAGCTGTAGGCTCAGTGTTGGCCCCAGTTGAGGACTCTGATAGTCACATGTGTTTTGACTGCCAAATCTTCCTCAGCCAAATTGTGTGAGCTCAGTTGTCAGTTCTTCAGGTGCGGACAAAGGGGTGGAAGCCTTTCCACTCCATGTGCGCCGGAAGATTTGTTTGGAAGAGGGTCATTTATGCGAACATGCTGCGTCGGAAACTTTGACGACAATGCTGATGGGTGCCACTTTGTTTGTAACACCGGATAGAACCTTCAATCAGTGACAGGCCAAAAGGTCACATCAGGTATTGTGTGTATGTGATAAGCACAGCCGAGTGCAAATTTTTAAGTCTCGGCATAGCGCAAAGGCCTGCTTTTGTGCCGGCAGGCAGTTTAGGCCTTCATTAAGTATTGAAGGACTCAGAAAAATCTGTACTGCGTGCTGATTCAGTGCCAGTGTTGGATCATTTTTCCTGCAATTCCTTCCTGTTCTTATATATATAATGCTTGCAGGCTGTGAAGTGCTTCGTTTTCTGTCACTCCGGTTCTCAAATGTCCGCTTTCTGACCTTTCATCATCCATTGCCTGAGGTGCTAGACCACCTATCTATCGGATCTCAACTCAACTATCCTTACAGATACTCCGCTTGTCAAAACCATTCCTGTTCTGGCACAAACAAGGCCCTTGTGAGTTGGACAGGTCTAGTTGCAGCTTTATCTCTTCATGGAGAGGTCGGGCTTCTATCCCAGGCGTTCCACATGAGGGCTCTCAGGAGCATCCAAACAGAGAGAAGGAACCTTCAATGTCCACAGTCGCTTTCGTGAAGTCAACAGGTTTGGAAGCAACAGGCAGTGGCACTTGACAAGGACCCAAGCTGTTTGGTCGAGAACTCCGTTTCTTCAGCACAGACAGTACCTGAACGCTTTCATCATCGTGCTGACACAAATGTCTATCAACTGTTGACATCTATCACAGCGTCAAAATTGCTCAGCTACCGAGTAGCCCACTACACCGAAAAGGTTGCCGAACTGTAATTGGTCAGGCAACCAAGCAAACTTGTGGCAGAACAAGTATTGAGCTGCTGCCAGGTGCATACTACTGGGAGATTTGGCTTTAGTGCGGTATTTTGGCTTTGCCATCACTTCCTCATGACTTTCAGCTTCAAAACACTTGGGCAAGAGGTGTTGGGATGTACAGTTCAGGAAAAGCAGTAAACCATGATTTGTTTGCCTGCCACGCAATTGAGGTACCGGGCAAATCGTTTGCGCGAGATCAGGCAGAAAGAAGCTGAAGCTGCGCAGGTGCAACTCGGAACTTGAAAGACTTTCTGTGCACCCTAAAGGTTTCAAAATGCACTTGAACTTCAACAAAGGCTGTAATTCAACCCAAAAAGATATGTAGGGTCAGCTGCAAGGGTGGCTTTGGACTTTGGACACAGTCATACTTTTTGTTTTTTCTTCGGTTGTCTCTGAGCAGTCAACGCTTCCTAAGACATTGACTGAATTGCATTCAGGACCAGAACGTGTATAGCTGTGCCTTAAAGCACTGGGTTTTTGGTGGTTTTAGTCTACTTTTTTCTGAATAAAAAGGGCATTTTCGAGCGTTCCTCATTAAACACCAGAGGTTGGATGTGACAGGTTGCAGCTGCTGAAGCTGAAGCAGCTGCCGATGCCAGGACTTTGGCAAGGAAAGCAAATGAACCACGTGCAGTTGGCCCAGCAGCTAAGATGCTCCAACAGAATCAACAGTAGCTGATGTTCGATGCCTTGTAGTTGGTAGAACTCCATTTTCCTGCAATTATTCACTTAAGGTTGGTACAACCCCTTTCCAGGCACTGAGCTTTGGCTCATTGGTTGGCTTTAGCGTTGACGACTTCGATCTCGTTGGATGCTCCTTATTTGCAGGCAGCCCGCCTCATGCGGGCCTTCGATGTGCTGCCTGAACGAGAAGCATTGGTCACGTTTTCGACAAGGCCACTTCGTCGTTTTGGTGTTTGGCACTGTTTGTGCAAAGAGTTGCTTTCACCTCCGTGTCAGTGTGGAGGCTTAACGTCGACTTGACAAGTGAAACCTGCTTGTTTGCTGAATAGTTTGGAGCGTTCTCTTTGAGTCTTTTTGTGACCTCGACCTCAAACACCCAGGAGAGAGTGTTCGAGGCACATGTTACTTGCCATGCACCCAGAAAAGAACTAGAACACATCTGTTGCCCAATGCTTCAGCTGAGGCCTCATGGTTTGAGCACTAAGATCCGGGTCTTGGCTTTTTGCCCTGACGACCAGATCCAGGAGACTATTTGTCGTTGTGCAAACACGCATCAAGCCATTTCAAGCCACTTCAAGCCTTTATAGTTGTTTGAAATTGCAAATCAATGGGAGTCTAATTTGTCATGACCGGCAGTGGGTTGCATGTCAGGAGATGATGGAAGCAGGAGCAGATGTGGCAGGTGCAACTTTATTTCATTCTGGGCTTTTTTGTTCGAGACGGAGCATTAAACATTTTGAGTCTAAAACAAAAACCGCGACACCTCACATGGCACCAGAAAGTCAGGTATTACGGAGCCTTTGAGAAGAATCAACCAAGGCCACGGAAGACAGGGGAGCTTATCATGAAGCCATGAAACGTTTTGCATCCACACATAGCAGGTTGGATGGGCTTTGATCGTTGCCTGGCTACGCCCAGCATTATGCAAAGTTCTCATATTTGCAGCACATGTTTCACTTGTACTCAAACGTGCGGATTCTGCCAGCAAAGTCTCAGATGCAAAGAGCCCAGGCCTCAAGTCATGAAAGTGGCCAAGGTCTTAGGTCCAAGGCCATCGACTTGTTCATATAGAGATTTTGTGCATTTTCTCGAGCCTCAACATGCGTTCGTTGGCTTTCTCGTTAGGAAGATGATGCCAAATCCCAAAAGTGGGACTGTGGTGCCCAACCTGAAGACTGCAATCAAGGAGGCTCCACAGTGCCTTGTCGTGCACTTTTTGGGAGACTGTCGCAGCATCTCTTCAGGCCAAAAGTGGAAGCCTCTTAGAGTACAGAGCAGAAGGAGAAGGAGATTTGAAGGCGACTCGTTATGCCTGGCATCAAAAGCTCCTGAACATTTTACGACAGAAGACGATGCATGATGACACATTCCCTTGACTAGGCCACAATTGGTAGTGCAGAGTTTTCGGATGCGAAGATCCTAGAGAATCTTAAATTCCTTGCGGCTCGACCTGAACGAAAGAGCGATGAGAGTTCTTTGTGAGTCGACTTGGATTTTGGCTTGTCTTGTTTCTTTTCGGCTTCAAGGTTCAGACTTTGCTGAGAGCCAGGCCACGTTCTAGCACCGCAGGCCGATCCTTTTAGCTGTATTCGGGAATGGCACAGCGTTCGAGAGCTCCAGGTGAGGACTCAGCACGCACTCCGCCTGGAGCACCTGGCAAACCGCTCATCGGAAAGAGTCAAGGTGCGGTTTCCTCAGGAATTGACACTTGAGAGTAGGGAAATTGCTATAAAAAATGGAGGCCATCGCTATTAGGATGGAGGCCATCGTGGATGGGCGAATGAAGTGAGTATAGGGGGTGTGGGGGGGGAAAGAAAAGACGTGTTCCAGAAACCAGTAAAGTGTAATGTATTTTTTTTTTGGTCTGGTGATGTGAGTGATGTAATTGACGCCGAAGAGTGCATCATTAGCATCACGAAGAGCTCACTGATTGGACAGTCTTTTGACAAGGGGTGGGAGTTCGGTAGAGGACAGGAAAGGGGGACTACGTGACAGGAAATGCAAGAAAAGGGCTCGGCGAGATGTTGTGCCTCTCAGCCCTCTGTTTTCCTGTGGCTAATCAGAGTCGAAGGGAACGCACGTAACGATGTCACTCGTAGAGGACTGGAAAGGGAATAGAATGCAGTCAGCAACCTTTGAGTTGCTTGGGAGGCAGGAGTTGGGCTGTCTATCCTATGCTCAGTATCAGTGGATGGGAGCTGAACCCGGTAGAATGTAGCGAGGGACCTTTGAGTTGCTTGGGGGTGCCCAAGGGCTGTTCACCGGATAAAAAGGGCACCCCTCCGAGCTATACATGTCCAAGGGAGTCGGGTTGTACGGACCGAAGTCTATCCTATGACCCGTAATGGTGGATGGGAGTTGATCCAGGCGTTGTGTATATCGGCTCTATCATATCGACCCTCAATGCGAAACTCTGCATCTCTCAGCCTTCTGTTTTCCCTTGGCCAATAGAAGTAGAAACAATTACAAGTTCAATTTCACTCTGTGACAACAAGACCTTTTTTCATAACATAGGGATGGGAACTATACTGCCAATTCTCGATGTTATACAATCACGTGATCTTTGGTGCTAAACTTTCATCGGCCCACTCTTATGAGCATTAAACATTCTGTTCCACCACAGAGAACGGGCGGGACTCTGTACCACCAAAAACCTCTAATCTCTATAGAAAAAACGTTTCGCAACGTAGCAGGACATTTCCAGGCTTCATCTTTGCAACTACATATTCATACAGACAGGAGAGGAGAGGAAAACAAAAAACAGGCAAGGACCGTTCAGTTACTTAGGTGCTCTTCCTCGGCGTTGAACCAAGAGAACAAGGGTACCCGCTCCGAACTGTGAATGTCCTGCTCAGTTCAACCTTTGTCCTAACGCATGGGTTCCACTTCTATCCTATAACCACTAACAGTGAATGGGCCTTGATCAAGGCCTTGTACAGTATATAAAGAGTCAAGTATATCGACCCTCAATGGTACTTATCTGCCTTCTATTTCCCTGTGCAAAACCGCACTAGAGGTCAGTGCAATGTCGACTTCACCCCATAACAACAATGTTACGGAGGCTGGCTTTCGTCCCCTCCTTTCTCAGGTGTGCTCAGATAGTGGATTTGCCCAATTATATTTCGATTGTCCATAATCCCGTACCCCTCTGACAATGCAGCTGTAACTTCAGTCATGCTGGCACTCGCTCTTTGATTTCGTTGTGCAGGTTCTTCCCCTGAAGTGAAGGCCAGCCAGATTGTGTTTTGGACGAAGGTCCTGCTGTTACAGTGAAATCAGCTCTCTCTCTCTCTCTCTTTTTTTTTTTGCTCTCTCTCTCTCTCTATCCAAAAATATCGGTAGTAGTTTTGTTCGCACAACTTGAGTACTGGAGGATATGTACTTCCGAGAAGCTTATGTGCGATTGGGAAGCAACGGGCCGCCAATTCGCACTAGCCTTGGACCGGGATATTTTTCGCTTTTACTTGCTGTGTCCCGTTTGCCTTTGTCCTTGTATGAAATCTGCAGCAATCTGTGAATTTGATGTTCAAAGCTTTGGATGCAGCTACCAGTCTACCATATTGCAAGCCCCTTGAACCTTGCAAGGTATTGATCCTGAGTCAATGATGCCATCTTCAGTTGGATATTTTAGATAGCATTGGTGTGGAAGGTTTTGGCAGAATGACGTGTTGCACGTGCATTGGTTTGAAATGTGTTTGCCTTGCGGAACTTGTATGACCATCCTGTTAACCTCTACTGCCAGAAAGCTTGACATGTACATAAATCGATGAGATGTGAGTGGCAAAATACCTTGCACCACAAACGATCACAGTGGTGAACATCGCTTCATTTCATCGCGGCTGCACACTGAACGATCTCCTGTTTCTTTGGCAGTTTGGCTCAGCAGTAGCATAGCAGGAAGTCCTCTACTAAGGTGCTTGGCCCGACTCAGCTATGCGCTACTCGTTGTCATTGTGTGTTTGTTGACCAGGCACCTGCAGCCATGGGGAAAAAGGGAAAGAAGAAAGCCTTGGATCCCGAGGCAAATGGAGAACATTTACAATTACACTAGGGATTCGTCATTTCAAAAATAGATCTCTTTGGAATACCCAAGCGCAGTTCCTTAGGCAGCAGCCCGGCAAGCAGCTGCAGAAGCTGAAGAAAAGAAGCGGCAGGGAGCTCACAACTGGAAGTATGACTTTTCTTTCCCACAAGTTCAGTGAACAGATTTTGGGAGGTTTGATAGCTTCCCAAGGATTGAAATGATCAAGGAAGCCATGCGGCTGCGTTCCAATTGTGAGCGAGAGGAGATCGTCGAAGATCATTTTTTAACCCGAAACCTGTTTCTTTCAACAAAGTGGTCAGACTTTTAGTGGACGCATTTTCAGATGACCACTGACTCATGAATCAGTCAGGAGAATCACTTTCATCAGTTCCTAATGGAACGCGAGAAGATTAATTACTTCTGGATAGTGGAGAAGAAGACACTGACAGAGAAGCAGGTTCGCAATATTGACTACTCATGCTTGTATGGCTTGTACAGTCAAATCTGTTCAACGCACTTTGGCTGCAACACTTGAGGCAGACCTCCGCAACAAGCAGCGAGAGCTGCAAGACTTGGAAGAAAGGCAACAAATTGAGCAGCCGGCTCAGGATGTACAGAGAGATCCAATTGATGTAATGTAGTATAAAATAAATGTGATATATCGTGATATGTTTTTAAAGATAAGAGAGATGAATAGACGAAGTTAAGAGCCCCACTTTCTTGTTTATTTTTTCTTATTTGCACAGAGCACCACTGATTAGTTTTGCTGAGTGATATCGAGGAACTGAAACCTATTGAATTCAACTTATCCCAGAGAAAGACCTGGCGAATCTCTTCAACCTGCACCAGTTTGCTTGCATTACATTAAGGCTGAAAATGTTTCAACAGCGGTTGAAGCACTTGAGATACCATCAACAAGATGAGGCAGGTGGGTTCAACTTTTGCCTAGCTGCATGGTAATCCAAAGGCAGCACTGTCATGGAGGTGTTTTGTATTCACACCGCTTCGCGGCGAAGCCGCCAGCACAGTTGTGCTCTCTGAGCCGAGATCGATCGAAGTCAACGAAAGCGAAAACGGTCTGCTGAGCTGTACGACGTGGTCCGATTCTCATTATCTTCGTAGCTCTTCCGCCTATTCGACCAAAAAGTACTCTGTTAACACATAAGCACACCACGACGATTGGTGCGTCCCCGTGTTACCCGACGTTGCGTCTTAGATATCGCCTACGCTGGTACCGATCTTAGGCCTGTTGTGCTCAATCAGCCAGGGACAAACACGCACACGCTTTCAATGACGCCGTTCCATTCGGGCAGCGTAGCTCACATTATCAATAGTTTTCTCGTTTCTCTTTTGGAAGGCCGCAGGGCAAGCACACAGGATGTGAATAATACAGTCTCACTCCGGCAGCAGAACCGACATCGCCAATGACTTGCTCATTTTTCGTTGGTTTTTAAAAACTTCAAAAGCACAGCACTCCAGAGCAAAAATACCGCTCCCCCAAGCTAAAACTTAAGCTAATGCTATCTAGCAATTCTAGCCTAGCGGTTTACGCGACCTGAGACAACGCCTCAGCACCTTCGGTGTGGGCGGTTTTTGCGTTGGCTTTGCCAATTTTTGACAACTTTGCGGGGACCACATTTGAGCCACAACAGCCTTTTTGCTGCTGAGTTTCAGGTGGTTGAGCTCAAGACTGATGCCGAGTTGGGCCTGAAGCTGCAAGAAGATCACCATCGAATAACAGAGGCAGAGATCAAGAAGGACTGTTGCATGTTGTGAAAACATTTGGAAGCCAACTGGTTGTTAGTTTTTTTCGCAGTACATATCCGGCACCAGGATCAGCGAGCCCTGAAGATGGAAAAAAAGGAAGCGGAAGTGGTTCAACCCTGAGATCTGTCTACCAGGTTTGTTGCAAGATTGAGAATTAGGAAAGGATTCTATTGTGAGATAAGGGATCAGCCGCGAGACTTGTGCACCTTGTGAGGCCCAGCAGGATTTTACTCGCATGCTGAAGTTGGAGCAGGTGGGTGGATACGATTGCGATTTTCTCAGAACAATTGGACACTTTTGTGATCAAGGATCAGAAGATTCTTGAGCTTCGGCACGAGCAACTTGTTCTTGCATTCTTGACAAAGTTTTTCAGCTTTGCAACAGTTGCAGTTTGATGAACACAGCAACCACCTGAACTCTCAGGTTTGATCGAAAGGCTCGAGACATGCAGCAGAAGTATGAATTGAGAATGAAAGAAATCCGAGATGAAATGGTCGGAACCCGAGAAAATCTATGAACCAAACGAACCAAATAATCACTAGGGATTAGGCTTCTTCAACGAAGCTCTCCTCAGCTTGAAGGCAGCGGGGAGCTTGAAGAAGCCTGAGCCCTTCTGTGTCCAAGCCTAGTAGTTTACTTCCTCAACCTACTAGCTACTTGTTAGCCCACCCCCTCATGAGCCTACCCCCCTAAAGAAGAACAAATCCCAGTATCGGGTCATGAGTGCGGAGCTTGGAATGTGCGTTTCTGAGCTACCAGGAAAAGCAGCGAAGAAAGCAGATTCAGCAGATAGAGGAGTCAAGTCCTTAGCTTTTCTGGCTAGGAGATATGCCGCTTGCAGCTGCTTGCAGCTTGAATCGCAATTTCTACTTTCAATCTCAGCTCTTGGCAGCAGGTCGAAGAATTCTCAGATTGACCAGGCCAGAGTTTCAGAATGCGTTGCCGTTGTTTCTGACTGGTGGAGAGGAAAAGTTCTAGTTGAGCACAAGAGTTCAACGTGGATTTTCACCTGCAATTTGGTTGAAGAGCTATGCTCATGAGCAGGTAATGAAGAAGAACCAGCAGGACTTCACGGAGATCAAGGCATCTCATCATAAGATCTCATACTTTGATTCTTTGCATTTTGCTATGTACAGGTGTACTACCAAGAGATCACCGTCTCCAACTTTGACTCCATCAAGCGCCTAAAGGAGGCCTATTGCCCAGATATGCATGTTTCTCTTGCAGCAGTCAAAAGGTGACAGAATCCTTTTCCAGGACTATGCCGAGATCAAGAAGAATGAGAATGATGATGCAAAGAAAATGTACGACTTGGAACAAAGTCGGCTCCTTGGGGTGGCTTCAAGAGGTCAATTACAAAGGCTAGTCACGACTTTTGAAGGTTGCAGTTCGCTAAAATTGCAACTCAGGAAACAAGCAATTGAAAGAGCCAATGAAAAAAGCGAAGCAGGAGAACCTGCAAGCATGGATACCAAAGTTCCACGACACATGGACATGCGTCCAGCTCTGTAAAATGTGTGGTTTGTCGTTTGGTGTAGGATGTAGAGCGGCTGGAGCAAGAGAAGGAAGCGTACAAAGAGGAGGGCAATCTGTATGTGCACGCGTCGCGCATGTGATGCATGCAAAGGAGCTTGACCTCAAGGCATGTACTTTGTATGCAGTTCTTGGCCACTCGCTCTGCCAGGACAAAAAGAGATTGGCGCAGGTGAAAGAAAAGATCAAGCAGTCTGAAACGTCCCTACCTCAATGCGGTGCAGCTGACTTCGAATTCACTTGGCCTTGATGAATTCAACCTATGCTCCAGGCTCCTAAAGCGAATGGAGTTTCAACATGAGGCAGGCCGCATTTGTGAAAGATAGATGGGGAAGTGGGGAGCTCAGAAGTTCTCAGAATGTTTGCGGGCAGGTGCTGCAGCAGCAATTAGCACATGTGACTGCTGAGAGAGAGGACCTAGGGTTGGGCAAGGGGCTGCTTAAAACCCTGCGTGATGTCTGGACAATGTATTTTTTGTTTGTCGTGCAACGTTCTCACTCCATCATGTTTCACAGTGAGGATCTCTACACAAAGTTTCAGCAAGCCATCTATGATGCAAGCACCTCAAATCGGCGAACTCCAGCACAGAGTTTTGACACAAGGAGCACTCAGTATTTGATATACTGTTTGCAAACCTTTGGCATCATGCTTGAGGTTCAGCAACGAAGCGGGCTGAAGAATTTGATCCTCGAGAAGAAGATCGATACCGTCGAAGAGGTGTGTCAAGACGCCATGGGAAGCTGTGATGCTCAAAGCTGATATTTGAGGCTTTGGAGACCACAGAGGCCCAGATCACAGAATTGCTGGCCTCTGCAAATGCCTTCTGCTGAGACACTGAGCAAGAGCAGCAAGCGCAGCAAGAGCAGCAAGAGCAAGTGCCATTGCTATAGTTATATAAGTTTCCCTAAAAATCTAGGAACCAAAGGCATAGTGCGAGCGCTTCCTGGAAGAAGCGTGAGCTATCCTGCTTCCTACCTAGGAGCGTCCTGTACCTACTAGCTACCTCAGTTCCTTACTTAATTAAGTAGGCGCCTACTTAATTAAGTAGGGAGGGGGGGAACGGGCTAAAGAAAAGAACATGAAGATCAAGTGGCCCAAGCGGCCCGAGGGGCCAATCCCTGCGCAGAGCGTCACTGCTCGTGGGTTGAGGTGGATCCCACTACGTCCGCTGGCATCACCCAGAAGCTGGACCAGGCCTGAATCTGAGAAGAGTTGAAGTTTGAAAAAGGTTGAGGGAGAAGTTTGAAGTTGAGAGAGAAGTTTGAAGCTCTCCAACCAAAGGTGATTGCCTACAAAGATGACATTGTCGGGCAGCTTCAGGACAGGCTGAGAATTATATCACCAGCTTTCTGGGATTCTGTGTTCATGTCATAATCTCTGTGTAAGGAAGAAGTGCAGCGGATCAAGGATTCTCATTCCACTATGGTTCCCACCTCAGCCAAGCACGGGCTTGAAAAGCGCTTTGTTGACGATCCGATCGCCAAACCTGTAGATATGTTTGAGGTCAAGACATATGAGTCCAAGCTGGCGGAATATGGCATTCCACCAGAGGACCACTGTTATGCAAAAGGCATCAGTCAAGTACACTTGAAGCATTCTGAAACCGACACGTTTTGAACGTGTCATGAGGAGCTTGGCTTTGTCCCGGCTGTCGGATGAGAAGCGCCACTCATGTCTTGAGCGTGTACAGATTCTCAAGCTGCCGTCATGGCTTTCGTCTCACACTGCTTTGCATTCCCCGTCATGTGTTGACATGCTGGCAACCCTACCAATCCTCCATGTTGTGTGACAGTCCGACAGTGACTGCAATACAGTTCAGGCTGAGGAAGAAGCTTTCCTGGCTGTTTCACTTCGCATGACAGGTTTCACGTGAAATAAAAGAGCATAGACTGTTGCCTTATTTTACGCCGGTGCAAAGAAGTAAGTTGCCAAATGCTAAATGCTGCTTTCGATCATTTTAGCTAGCCAAGGCCACCTCATTTCCAAATATTGACAACTAGACTCACAGCAAATCGTTCCGTGCAAAGCGGCAGGCCAAGGATGAGATGTTTGTGATGCCACTGGCCACTACAGGGTCCACCAACACAACAAAATAAACGCGACAATCTTGTCAACATACAGACACGAAACGACATTAAGAAAACTGTTGCCAACGAGAGAAGCTTTTGGCGCGGAACTCTTATTGAAACGTCCTTTAATTGCAACAAATTAAACAGCCTTTTAACGTGGAGCCGGCAACGGTTGAGGCAACAAGGAGCTTTCTCCTTGATATTGACGGTAACTCTTTTGGTAGCCGCGGCTGAGCTGCGAGCCTCAAGACCTTACTCCAAGCTATGCGCAAATACCGTAGGACCGACTATGCCAGCTATGCCCATGGAGACTCGGTTGGACTTGTCAGATTGGAGGTGAACACGATAGGATGCGATTTGCTGAACACTCAGGAGCGCTCATAGCCAGATGATCAGAGGTATGGCCACATCAATCTGGGGAATTTCTCTTCTTTGGATCTATGTCTGTGCTTGCAGTGGAGAAGGCACTTGAGTGTGCAACTGATGTGCCACACACCTGTGGACCTGCATTGTTCAGTAGTCTTGGTGCATGGTATGCTGTACAAGATTCTGTCAGGCAGCGCATGTCCTCCAACGCCACCTCCAGTCATCACCACGCAGGCCTGCATTTTTACCGTATTGACTAGAGAGAGAAAGCTTTGTTAGCTAAATGAGGAAATAAACATTTGATAGCCTTTGCAAAACCTGTGAACTGTTTCATACTCTCATGGCCCAGCCGATGTAGGTCCTGATCCAGACCGGCATCAATTCATCGGCTGTCAGCCAAATGCCTGCGAAGCCTGCGAATGGAACTGCAGAAGCCGACCAGAGTGACCAGACTGCGAAGGAACTGCCTTGGTCAAGCTTGCAAATCTGGCTGGTCATGAAGGCAGTTATGCTTCTCCTGCTTCTTCTATGTGCGGTTGCATGTCTGGGCAGTCTTCGCCAGCCAGATATTTTTAATCTTAGAGTGAAGGACACCATGACTTATAATGCTTTAGGACTTCTGAGCTGGATCGCACTTCTGAGTGCTTCCCGAACAGTATGGATTAACAAAACGATTTGGATTATGGCCTGCCGCTTTTGCAGCGTTGTCTTGGCGGTTGCTCTACTAGAGATCTCCATGTTTCCAGATCCTGGCTCAATGGATCCTTTGGCTTTCTCAGAAATCACCAGCGTCCTCACTGTTTTTGTTTCACTATTGACGCTGCTCTTTGCTTCAGCAAGTTGTTCTTTAGTATTCTTTCCTTTAAATTTCCCATCCTGAAAGGGTCTTAACTGGTCTGAATAATTTTTTTGTCTCACTATCTTTGTTGAAAATTGTCCTTCAACTTTGGTGCAGGTTGGGCTTCTACTTGACCAGCTCGGTGAAACGCTGGAGCACTTGCATCGATGGCTTTCTTAACCTTTTCGAGGTCATTCGAGCTCTGCAGATGCAGCTTCATGCTTTAGGAGTTGGACGTGGTGACATTGTGCTGCCCTGAGATGTCCCACAAAAGAATTGAATCAATGTGCTCACCCAGATTTGTTTCTACTCCTTTGTATCGCGCCAAGGCAAGAGTTGTTCGCTGCTAGGCTGCATTTTCTGCAAATACGGCCATCTCCTTTTCATGGGTCCTTGCTTCTGGTCTGCAGGATATGGGTTGGTCTCCAGCTGGCTTTGTGCTCGCTTGCAACGAATTGACAATATTGCCAGCAAGAAGCTCCTTGTCAGCATATTGCTTCAAACGCCTCTATGCGATGCATACTACCAGCGCCACCACATGATAATGACAATATCTATCAAAAAGGTGCAGCCCTGTTGATTCTGATCCTTCAGAACGTGGGATGTCTTATGCATCCGGGCAATTTCTGAGGAAGAAAGCGGTGTATTCTCCATTTCAAGGGCTCAGGGATGCTCCTGACGTTTTCCTAAGCTTGACAGACGAGGAGTGCGAGTGACCCGTTTTGCAATTTTTGGTGAAGATGATTTGGCAGAACAAACGTTTTGGGAAATATGTTGCTTCCCGCCAATGTTTCAGCTGGTGACAGACTTGCTCCGAGGAAGCTTGAAGGTATCGATGATCCGTGTCCAATCCTGTGGCTTTGGGTCGCCTTGTTTCTAGGGCGCTTGGCCTCAGATGGCGACATCCCCCCAATGGCATCGCCAACATATGGCCGAATGGTCATGTTGGCCAACGACGCACAGGTAGCACTCAAGGAAATCCGCATGACTACAGAAGTGAAGATTCCTTACCTCTACACCCACACTCTATCAGCCATTGTCCATCTTAACAACATCCTTTGTGCCATCAACATGGGCCTTACCTTGGGATCTTGCATTGGCGCAGCTCTCACAAGCATCGATTCTAGATTGACGCTTTATGGTATTGAATCATACCCAACATCGACAGCCTCGCAAACACTGCAGCTGCTATTGGTGCAATCCTTGAAGTGTTTTTTCGTGCCACTACTATACCAAGCCTGCCTGGAAATCTGCTTCTGCTTGTATTCGGCCTTTGGAGGAGAGACAGAGGAAGCAATGATACCCAGTGATCGAATGGTCAAAGAGTGGAGCAATGAGCTTGCTGGCCTCATGGATTTGGCGATGCACCCCCCTCACTGGCAAGCGCCTGCTTTCAAGCATTCCATTTCGCATGTTCCAGACATTCAGAGGACCAAGGCACAAATATCGCAACCCGGCTTCGGTCCTGAGTTGATATGTTGATGTATATCAGCTCTCTAGTTTGCCAATCAACCGTTGCTGTAACTGTGTTTCAATCAAGAAGACGCGTGCAAGAGTCTTGTTGTCGTACCCTTTGAGTTTTTCAAGGCAAAGTGCTAAAAAGCCGATGAAGGTGTGAGTGCCTTGGATTGATTGAGAAGTGTCTTGCTCAACGTCAACCCAAAATCTGCCACTGCAGGGTGGTTACGCAGTATCAAGTTTGCACCTTTGTGATCCAAGGGAAGAGGTACGCAGTCGTGCTGGAGGTTGAAAGAGACGACATTGGTTTTGATGGGTTTCGAGTGGACTGAGGTCTCCTTGAGTTTGCTTAAAGTCTTTTCAAGCAGCTCTATTGTACTTCAGCTTGTTTTGGACACCTTTTGGGCTCAAGTACGCAGCTGATGACACCAGTGCTTGGACCATTGCCGAATGGTGCGCCAGTCAGATACACCTTTGTGCTTTGAGAATAGAGCTCAGCAGTGTTCATGCTCGCTTGTCAGAGGCATGCTGATGTCTTGGAGATATCTTGCCTCTTGAGCTGCATTGGAAGAGACTTGTTGGCTCGTAATAGTAGAAATAGTGGCCACTCAGGGCTTGAGCAAACCAGTGCTGGCCTGATGTGAGCGTTTGGCCTCTAGGGCACAGATCATGGGAAAGCAAGGAAAGAGCACCTTGGCAGCAGGGCATAAGTGCTTGAAGATTGAGAACACATCATGGCAAGGTGGAGAGGAAGCTTTGTGAGGGTTTTGACACGCACTGCTGAGGAAAGTTGAAGGGTGACGCAGGTGACACAAAGATTCAGAGGCGCTTGAGCAAGCGGAGAAGGGCGACCAAAAAGGGCAACCCATCAGATGATGAAGGTCTCGGTGACGCCAGAAGCTCAGATAAGGCGACAAAAGATGAAATTGCTTTTTTTTTCTTGTCATAATGTGACTCTGCTGTGGAACAGCGTTGATAGTGCCTTTCCTATTTGATGGCTTGAGTATCCATATTCATATTGAGCTTCTGCATTTCCGTCGACCTTGGATCTGGCATGTTTGAGACCCATGTGCATAGACATAGCCTGATGGCTTCCATTGATCCCGATGCCCCTGGCTACAGAAGATATCGGTATCGCGAGCCTCCTGTCAATTTTCAGTTTTTTTTGGATATGTGCCAGTGTTCACACGAGTTTACTATGGATGGCAATCAGTTGCTAGTATGAGGAGTCCTATTCAGTCAAGGATGACCATTCCCAGTTTCTGGAGGAGGGACCACGGCTTTGCATTGACATTCATTTAATATATACAGTATATACATATAACTTAATGCATCGGTAGTACGGCGGTCTCAGCACTTTCACTTGGGAGTCATGGATTGAATTGAGGAATGTTGAGAGACTGAGAAAGCTTGAACTCACATTCGTGGCGAATCTATGAGAGTTCGTGTCTCGGGAACTGGATTTGGGGCAGACAGTAGGAAGCAGCAGAGGGGCAAGCACTTGGTTGTGCACCCCCAACAGTGTTTGAGAAGCCAACCCATCACGTCCAGGTTTGTCGGATGGTTGATGCGGAAAGAATCGGTCGCTCAAGATGGGAGACCGAGCCGACAACAATGCGCAAGTTTTGACGTGTCAAAAGTGTTCCAGAATCATACTGTATACATATATATATACATATGTGTATCCATGCTACTTTTCACCTGTGTCATACTGGTATGTCAGTTCTGCATGCATTCTCACTCCCTTTTTGAGGTCCAATGATGAGGATATTTTATTTTTGTTATTTTGCCTTGACTAACTAATGTGTTGACGAACTATCATCGCTCGATGAAACTACCAGACTACCAGACGCCAGACGGTCCAACATGGATCGAAAATATCTTGAAGGCCGGCCGCTTTGTCAGACACTTAGCCATAAGAAATACAGTAGAATCCACGCAAGACAAGTGTAGATCATCGGTCCCCACCCGACCACCCAAATTGAGCATGACTAAGTTTTCCCCACCCCAACCTCCAGGATGGACGTAAGAGTAAGTCTCCCATACCACCCCCAGGATGGATATGGTTTGGGGTGCGTGGCCCACAGCGCTCCTACCTCAAAAAGTTTTCCTCCCCCTAAGTTGGCATCACGTGAAACTCTTGTTAGGTGGGTGTGAGCCCGAGGAAGCGTCCAAAGGGACATACAGGTTTTGTTTGTAGAACACGCATGAACACGCTATTCTTGATCCAGCCCAGGTTCGGGGAGGAGGCTGTTGCTGAATTTGATGATGCACACTTGGCTTGGAGCGGTACATTTGAGTCTCATACGTCTTCTGCACACAGCGAGTATCAAGATAGATTGCGAGCCATTCACTTGCGCAAGCAGGGATGGACAAAAGCAGACATTGCAAAAAGTATCGGACGATCAGACAGGTTTATATCTCGGTGGTGGCAGCTCGAACCACTTGCTGTCCCACGTCCACCTGGAGTTCATCAATACCTGGCCCACAGTATGATAAACGAGAAGAAGGTGGACCGTACCAACATGTGGAGAGGTGTAGAAGTGGTGAGAGGTTTCTTCAAGGATACTTCTGGCTTGTATGATGAGGTAGTCTCCAATTTCACCTCATGGAAGCAATCTGCATCAGAGACAAAAGACTTCAGGACAGCATCTTACTTTCTTCGTTATGACCGTGAAGGCAAAATGCGAATGATGACAATGAAATCGGCTGGCTACAGGTCTGGTCTTGTTCCGCGATTGGATGCACTTGTATCCAAAATCCATCAGAAGATCAAAATCACTGATCCCAATCATGGTGCAGGCATGTATTGGTTTTCAGATGGAGACGCCAGCGTGGGAAGTCACAGACATGTTTTCTGGAGTGCCAGAGTAGCCATGGGCGCTGAACGAATCATGATGGTGGACAAGACACCCATCCTGATGCAGGAGGGCGATCTTGTTATCATAGGACCTCAGCGGCACGGCGTGCCATCCATGCCGGACATCAGTGAGGGGAGTCTGAGAATATCAGTTCCTTTCAAGCCAACAAACAATGAAACAAAGAAGGGCCAGCGTGAAGAGGCAGATGGATGGGAAGGGCACGAAGAGTACGAAGAGTACGAGGAATACGAAGAGTACGAAAGGGGAGCTGAAGAGCAAGAATTATATGGCAGTTGCACAGACGTACAAACTCTTGTGTCCATGGGCTTTGACGAGACTGCTTCGGCGACGGCACTTGAATTTTGTGGCAGCCTTGAGAGAGCAGTTGAAGCATTGACTAATCCAGAGTTTGCTGAAATCTTGAAAGTACAAGCCGTCCAAGCCGCAGAATCAGCAGATGTTGCAGATGTTGACGAAGCTTTAGCAAGGAGATTGCAGATGGAGGAGCTGCAAGAAGATGATACCGAGCTGCAAGAACAATTCGAAGAATATGAACGGCTTTTGGAGATTGATGATGCTGAGAGGGGATGGGATGGTTATGGAGACCTGATGCACAACTCCGTTCGAAGAGCCAATTTGAATCTTGACATGCTTGGACCACAAACACTGTACTCTGTGGGAGCAGCTGCTCAGACTGAAAAACAGTTTTTCGAGCTCTTGTCTTTGCACTCTATTCGGATACTTTATGACTTCAGGCAGGGTGCTCATCTACGATGATACATTTTGGTAGAATACTCTTATTGCAAGGGCTTGGTAAGTGATTATGGAAGATGCCAGGTGTGGGTGACATAAGCTGCTGGTCCCCCTGGTTTTGCAGCTAACATGATCGTTGTGTTTCCCTTCAATTGTTCAGACATTTTTTCACTTGGTACAGTGCAGATTCTATGCTTTGGTAGTTGCGTGGCAAGAAGAAGGCTGTCCCGCCCAATGCTGAAACAGCGCCGCCAAGAGGACGATTGAGACCTTTACTTGCGATGGCCCCCAACCTTCACTTTAGTTATTCCTTGAATGCTTTAGTATGCACATGCACATGCACCCTCCTCGTTGCGCCAATTCCAACATGAAGCCTTTGGAATTTATCCTTTCCTGCTGGCTTGCCAAGCTCTTCCTCTGGATCGAATCCGTAAATTGGGGAAACTCTTTTTAGAACCAACCGACCCTTCCAGTAAGACATCCTGGCCCATGAAAACCTGTATATAGGGCGTCCTCAGACAGTCTACGACCAAGTCCAGTTGCGAAACAAACTTTGCTCGGTTCTTTTCCTCAGCCCCGGCTTGTTGCAAAGGGACAACCCCTTCCAGGCCCTCGGACTACAAAGATGAGGTCCGGTACCAACAGCCACATTTCGAAGTGCGCATCCTCAAGTCCAATTGCCGACAACGCAACATACACTACCGACACGTGGCAGTGGGTAGGGAGACAGCTTTTGGCGTTTTGCGGCACTTGCAGAGTGATGAAGTACAGCATATTCTGGTAGAGTTGACCTGGCAGGCCAAGCACAAGGGAAGGACTGCCTTCCTGGGTCCTGAAGAGGATTGGCAGGCAGATGGTCGAGTTGCCCTGGCCGAGGAACTTGTCAAACATGGACACAGAGTTTGTCACATTCGCCGAGATGGCGCGCTGGAAAAGCATTCAGCTGGGACACAGATGCCGGACTTTTTGGTACAAGAAGAAGCACGCTTGCGCAAGATCCACGCGCAGCGCCAAGCAGGGGAGCTTCATCGGCCTGAGAAATCAGCTGTGGATCGCAGTACAGAGGCCGTGGCGCGTTCTCTCGCAAGTGAGAAGACTCAGGTTGACGTAAGCGCTGAACTTCGGGATGCCGAAAACCAGGATGCTCTTGTCAAGGCTCAAAAGCGCATGGTCCGGCTGCAGGTCTCTGCTAACAAGAAGGAACCCGGCCTTGGGAAAAAGGAGCTAGTAGGTGTCCCCTCTCACATTGCTCGGGAGGCGGCGGCTGTGAGAGAACGCTTGGAGGCAAAGAAGGCTGACAAGTCCAAAGGCACTTCCACCCCGAAAGTGGACACCAACTATGTCGATCATTCTAGTTCTGCAGCGGCATCGTCTTCGGAACCTCCGCAAGAATGGTCTGTGGGGCAAACAGAGGTTCAGAATGCTCCCGCCCGGCCACCTGTGGATTCTGGAACCATGGCAGAGCCGGTGGAACCAGAGCACGTTGAACCCGAGCTCGTCGAACCAGAGCGCCGACGTCGCTGGGGATCAAGCGACCCCAGACCAGAGAATGTGTCACGCCGTTGGGGGAATCATGGTGATCGAAAGACTTAAGACAAGTGCTGAAGGCCTTACGCGTGTTCACCCCGAATGTTCAAGAGATGCCGGTGTCGCAAAATCCAAAAGATCCTTGCAATAGAAATTGGACATTGTGCTGAACCTGCGCCATTGGATCGATCAGAGAAGGGAGCTGACTTGAATCAAGTTCAACGAGAACCGGCAGCGAAAGTACCTCCACTCACCGAACAATTGTTGCGGATACTGCAATGATCATACTTATGCCTGCAAAAAGAGCGAACGGTTGCTTTCAATGATTGAATCGACATGGCAGTCCTTTTGTTGTGGTTCGGGTATAGCAATCTCAGAATCTTTACCCCAAAGAGCTTCTTTCACCAGAACTTCTTAAAAGAGTTGGATTCTTGACACCTGGACCTGAGGATGAGAACCTGACTGCTGCAGACCTTGATGTGGATGCTGTCAAAGCAGAGGCAGCTGCACAAGCTGAGCAAGAGAAGGACTGACCCTGACAGACCGAGACCTACGCAAGCGTTCGCAGGGGCTGACTTTTGTGTTTTTGGCACTCTTTCCCTCAGCCTTCTCCACATTTTGTGAGTGCAGATTAACACAGACTAATGAACCAATGTTGTATTGATGGTTTTGATGGTTGCTCTTAGTGCGCTTATGGATTTCGGGCTGGTTCTTTTCCTTCCCTGCTCATTGCACACCTTCATGACCAGCTCTATTGTCCTCATGCACACTTTAGTTTGACTGATCTTTGGGGTTGACAAAGTCGATTTACCATCTCAGCGGCGTGTCATAGCCTGAGGCCTCTCACCCCACCGGCCTTTATCGCTTCATACCGAGAGGGACATTTGGCATCTTTCTAAACACTCATCAGGGCTCAGGATGCAACAGCCTCTACACAGGGCATGCAGGAAGCTGACGGGCCGCATGAAGGTCACCAGTTCTTTTTTTGATTGTTGGCTTGATGCAAGTGTGGCAACAAGCTCAAGCTCTGTCGGAACGCGTGGAAGGGGCATGTGTTTTATGCTGCTTTGAATATCTTGTGTTTCAGTTTGTGACATGTTCACTGCCAAATGTGGTTGTTTCGTTCAAGTCCTTCTAAAAGCCAACCAAAAAGAGATCCCATATACTAAGAAAGCGGTCGAGTGCCATTGTTGATTAGATTGATTGAATCTTAAATAGTCTTCTCGGACTACTGAGAAGCTTGCACGTGTATCCACTATACAGCTTTGATGTTTCTTGCTCTATGTGAACAATTGCTCACAACAAGGAGTTTCAAATGCAAATCATGGGACTAAATCCACTGCGATGCCCTTCAAGCAGCAAATTCTTTTTCTATTCAGAGTAGCGTAGCAATTTTCTTTTTGAGTGAGGATAGAAGAATAGAAGTATAGTATAGCAGTATAGCAATCTTCAGTTCAAAAGCGAACGCCTTCTTCTTCGCAGGATGCTCCACAGGATCAACAGGACAAATGCGCCTTCCATGACTGTCATCACAGTTGTTTGACAAATTTCTGAAGTTGAGGGCTTTTGCTGAGTCTTTCGGGTGCAGGCATTTTTGCTCCAGCTTTGCTAGCAACTCTTCGTTGTTTCATGTTACGGATGCACCGCCTCACTAAATATATAAATCACTATATAAATCAATATACAATAATATATATATATATATACACATTTTCTTTTTAAGCGCCATTGCATTAAGCACGGCGGAGAAAGCCGGCCGCAAGAGACATTTGACCATTTTACCAATGCTTCACTTCACAACTCGCTGCCATGGGAGTGCTTGCAGGGATGAGTCTCATCAAGGCATCCTTCACCTGAGATTTTGTTCCGCACGATGACTGGTTCCAGAAATTTTCTTTGAAGGTCTTTTTCGTTTTCGTTTGTTTGGCCCCGAATGTGGCGGACTGAGAAGGGATTCCCGGGTGAGCTTTCTTGAAAGATTTCGCTGAGGCGGGAGAATTGCTCTCGTTCAACCGCTGTGATGGAGGCCATAGCAAGCTTCTCAGGAGCTAAGTCAGAGGATGGTCGTTGCCATGTCAGAGTTGGTCAACCAGAAAATTGAAATTGACAATTGCTCATATCATTTCTGTTGGGGGACTATGTGCTTCGCAAGATGGGGAGTCGCAGTCTGCACTTCCCAGGTCGTGTCGGCAAGGAGATTTGGGATGAAGTGAAGCACATGCTTTCCATTGATATCGCAGGCTAGACTGATAAGTGGAAGCTACTAGGGGCTCCTGGCCATACTACAAGGAACAAGAAGCTACTAGGGTTTAGTGGTTCTTGATGCTACAATGATCAGACATGGATCTTCCAGGCCGTGACATGGGAAGAAACTTGGACCCTCGCTCTGCAACGCTGGCTTGTCTTCTTCGCAGCAGCTGTTTTGTTCATAGGGCTGAATAATGCCAGGACAGCTTGGAAGCACTACGCCAAGTCATGAACAGCCAGGCAGGTAGGTTTCCAACAAATGTAAGGAAACAGCAATTGGACAATTGGACAGCAGGTACTACCAGATTTGGACAATGCCGTGAAGGAGTACAAACAGGGCCTAACTCTCCATCACTTGCTAACTTACTTTACTTCTGTTTCTTCGACACTTTTGGACGTATGTCGACACTTGGAGGATTGCGCCTTCGGGGTGATGTCTTTAATTTGGCTTACCCTTGTTGCGGTCGACTCAGAGGACGCGAGCGAACCTTTCGCTACTGCTCTTCAATTGTAACAGCTCACTTTGCCCTTGCTTTGAGGAGGGATTGGAGAGAGCCAGGTACCTGCAGGCGTCAAGACATGTTGTCACAGGTCTGGTTTGGAGAAATGTGGTCACAGGGTTAAAGTGTGGTCAAAGATCTATTGAGCAAGCTGGGTGGTGACCTTGTGAACCTGAGGAGGAGACTCACGATAGGCTTGAAGGAGAATCAATGACACGAGTGCTCAGATTACCCAGTTTAAACACATTTTGCCGTGTCTCCTCCTTCCAGATGCTGCTGGGATTGTTGTTTGGTCTCATAGATTCATATGTTTTTTGCGTGCCCAAGAACCGGTTCAATTTGATGTACTGTAGCTGCCAGGCTCTTGCAGATGGCTTGTTCTTTCAGTTTGCGGATTTGTTGGAGGTGCCTTGCAATCTGCCGCAGATCTTGATCCTTTGTGTAATCTTTGTAGGAGTCAACTTGGCCGCTGGAGCCTGTCAAGTACTTCAGCTACAGGCGGCGGGACGAAGTTACACAGAGAGTTGTTGCACCCTTTCCAAGCCATCCTAGATTTACCATGCTGCAGGCAACTGCTCGGACATGAGAGAAATGACTGTGGTGGCAGCGGGCTTCGTGCTTTGGCCCCGGAATGCAAGGCAACTGTCAGTACATCTCCTTTCTCCGGGCTTTTCAGTCAACCTTAGGGCTTTTAAGTAAAAGACTTGCATTTGTTTCTTCCTTCTCTTGGGAGTGTTCTCGAACCAGACATTGCCAAGGTCTACGTCTACAACTCCACCGATCTGACACGACGGCGTCTCTTGACAGGTGAAGCCCAAAGCCACGTTTTGAAAGTGAATGTGCTACTGGTAGGGTTCGCAATCTTCAGAACTGGAATCGTGGAAAAGCAAGGGGAGATGCTTCGAGGAAGCGTTGGGGATTCTTCCAGAAAGTTTGATGAGAGAAACATTTATGAAGAACTCTGGCTACGCGAAACAGTTGGTAGATTGCACAGGGTCGGCAGCATTGGTGTCTTCGGTGACAGGCTCTGGTATGATGGCAGCAGCATCTCACATCCACACTTATTTGGAGCAGAGTTCTTGCACTACGGAGGACTGATTGCCGACTTCTTGCTGCTTTTCATTCATTCTCCGTCAAGATGCTGTGCAGGATCCAGAATCTGCAGACCTTTTCTTCTTGCCAGCCTACCATGGAAACCAGTGACCAACTCTTGTTCTCACAGAATGGTGATCCGAAAGTCGTTACCCAGCCGTGTGATTCGTGATTCGTGATTCGGTGCCTGGCCCATATCTAGATTCGCTCCTCGAGCGCGATGTCATTCGTGACATGGAAACGAGATTTGTGATGCGAGCAATCAGGTTTTGTGATGTGATTGATGTGAGCAATCGTCAAGACATGGAATCTTCCACAAAAGCGATGCCTCCCTAGAACATGCACGATGGACATGGTCTCAAGTTTACTTGCATGACAATTGGTATGTTTTGGTTGATATTTAGGTTCTTCATTGATTTATCTGAAAAGGAAGTCCACCTGCATGTCCTGATGACATAGATGCGAACTTAGATGTAGTTCCTTCAGACGTTAGAGCCTGCTTGTGTGGCTGGGTATGCTCCGTTTCCATGACTCCTTCCTCTTCTAAATTTTACTCTCGAAGGGCTCACACAAGGTATCCTACGTCCCCATGGTCTCTTCTTCCTCTTGATTGGCTTGCAAAAGGTATGCTACGTTGGAATGACTCCTTCCTCCTTCATTTGTGACTCTACTATACTATAATCCTTGAGATCCACCGACCCTGAACGTGATTTGTGATTCGTGCTTCGTGACCCTGCCTTGGAGCTTCTCAGGATCACTGGAACCCAATTGGCTGACGTTGTTTGGGATATGTGCCCAGGTACGACACCTTTTTGGCGGAGCTCTCTCATGCGGAGAAATCTGATGAGAGGCCGAAGTACTCACCTGCTGTGAGCGAGGTGGCTGTGTTTGATTTGAAAGTTGCCTTGAGTTCACTCAGATTCCCCTACCTCACTCAGCGGCCTTCGGACCACTTCTTTGTGGTATCGGTCGGGTCCTGACCATATTCTTGCTTCGAGGATTGTTTTAGAGGGCGGATAGATCTCTGATTTCGTCACTTGCGAAGCTGCAAGTACATGAGAGAAGCTTTTTCGTTTGCCCGAGTCTTTGACAATGGAGCAAGCAAACTACAGCACTGTAGGTTCCAGGATGTTCTAGGTTTGCCATGTTTTGGAGATTGCACACAAGGCCAATTTACCTTCTTGGAGCGATCTGGCTCCTTTGCGCAACTCCATGCAGCTCACTGTGTGGGGCTAAGTCTCTCTGCATGACCTAAAGAGATACATGCTAGTTAAGTTTCCTTAAGAGTCTAGGAACCAAATCATTAGTGCGAGCGCTTCTTCAAGGCCTTTAGGGCGGCGGGGCGGCCTTGAAGAAGCGTGAGCTATCCTGCGTCCTAAGTAGTAGCGACTTAAGCTACTAGCTACCTCTTCTACTAGCTACCTCTAGCCACTACTAACTACCTCCTAGTGGCCGCCACACCCCTCTAAAAATAAGAAAACAAAGTCCTGGAAGCTTCGATTTCGTGCGAGGTGGAGTCCTGGCAAACCAACGAAGGAATTCCGCGGTACGCCCTATTTTGCGTGGTGTCCTTCAAAACCCTTTGGCACCTTCGTCATTGTGATTGCGTCGCATGCGGTTCAAGGTGGTCTTCTCGCTGGAAGGATATCATGATCCCCGGATATATTGATCGTCCTTGCCTTGTGGTTTGCCAGTTGCTTTGCCATTGGATCCTTGCATTTGAGCTTCCCAGGCTGGCGGATAGATGCGATGCGGGCGGTGAACAAACCAACAGAAGAGCGAGGTTTCGTGCTGCTTACTTGCAAAGGGCAAGGCTTCGCGTGTTCACCTTTTCCGGCTTTTGGTCGTCCAACATAGAGCTACGTGCAGCATGCAAGAGTTCGAGCCACCTTTTGAGGTTGGTGTTTCATGGCAACCATCCTGGGAACCATCAGCTGTATGTCAAGCACAAGGCTGAGGCATGGCAGTCTAGGTGATGGATAGACTGATTATTTCAAAAGGGAGAAGCGAGTTTCATGACGTGAATCATATGCCGCATGTTTTACTAGTTCTTTCGCATCAAAGTGGCTCAAGCCTTGGTGTTGAGCCAAAGACGCTAACGAAGCTGCCGACCTCTGGCCTCTCATGGAGGAACGTTGAGCTCGGTAAGGGCCTTGGGAGCACACTTGCTGAAGATGTCAGTCACACAATGGCTATATGTGACTCCATCACTTGATGATGTTTCAATCATTTCAATCTTTTCCGATCGTCCTGTGAAGACTCTTCCAAGGCCAAATTGAACCTGATGCTGGGCCTGGTCACATTGGGTGTGTTGGTATTTGTGCAGGGCTTGTTCCCTTCGTACAGTTACCGAAGCTTTCTTTTCGGGCTCCATCCTTGGAGCAAGCGACACATTCTTTTGAAAGAATTGATCGAGGCAAATGCTGATAAGGTGCGGCCGTGTGGTTTGACAAATGCAAAGGGTTGACGGATCTGCTGGATGTCACTCAGAGGCTCCTCGTTTACGCCAGACGGATGTGAAAAAGGCAAGGATTCAGTGTTGAAGTTTGAGATCTCCTATTCAACGACTTTACGACTTCTGACATGCAAGGCCTCTTTGCTGGCGGCTAGTGCTCAGCATGAAGGGCTTCCGCATGGTGTGGGTGCACCAAGGCACCGCCTTTCGATGAAATGACCAAGCTACAGATTCAATACCCATCCCGCTGGGTTGGACAGCAAAAACATCATATGAAGCCCACCCCGAACAAACGAGTGGGAGGCCTTTCGGACGCAGCTTTCATGATGCTCCTGTTGGCAACACGGACTGGGTGGGTGCCTAAAGTGAACAAGAACAATCGCATTGGTGACAACAAAGGGGTTTCTCAAAAAGAGTAAGGGGGGTTGACAGATGAGGTGACCCATCGTCAGCGTATTTTTGTCATCAGTGACATGGATCCAACAGTTCGCCTCTCAGCTTTCAGCTTTTATTTGATTCCGTCAAATGCTTCCCTTAGACATTTGAATGTTAAATGCTTCTCTTTTAAGACCTACAATTCTGAGGCACCCATGGACCGGCTGGATGGTTCGTCTGATCATGCTTCTCTCACAGGTGCCATGTTTCGTCCTGAGTGAGCCACTAGTAAATTAGCTGGATCGATAGAGAGTTAAAGTTCGTGTCAGTCTCAGTTACAAAGATGTGAAAGTGGGACTCTCATGCTGAATCTATTTCATTTCTTTTTTTTTTTCTGTTCAGCGACCACAAAGGCAACGATCAGCATTTCTAGCCGTAATTCAAACATGCCTGCAACACTTGCCGCCTTTTGACCGCACACGATTTCTAGACAACTTGGAAATGTTTGCCTGCAGTGTTACAGGCGTGCGTGCGGAACCGCTGCACTGGTTGTTAGGATTTGTCAGTGTCGCTTGAGCCAACTCGTGGTTAGGCTCTGGCGCAATCCAAAACTCATGGCAGTTGGCTGTACCATTTCCTCCCTTCGCATCAGCAAAGCGGAGGAACCACCAGGCTGTGTGCAAGTGACCATGCAGAAAACAATCCACCAGCAAGACCACGTGTGATAAATGATGGATGCTTTGAGAGGGGTTTTGGCTCCTGCCAAATGCATTCCCTCAAAGCTTGTCCGCAGATGCGGCTCGCGCAAAACAGCTGAAGTACTGCTTGGGGCTTGACTGGAAGACAACTGATTTGGAACTGACAATCAAGGCTCTGTTGAGGTCCAAACATGGAGACCCGCCATCAATTCCACATTTCGGTCTTCAAACAACTCCTTGACTCTGCAAGCTTGGACGTTTCAGAAGTCCAAGTTTTCAGAGAGAGAGAGAGAGAGCACAATGAGAAGCACGGAGAAATGAAGCCGACGTAATGGAAAGGAAATGCAAAGCAAAAGAAAGAAACATCAAAGCAAAGGGACAGAAAAAGACGAAAGAAAGACAAACAAAAAGGAAGGAGAACGAACATTTGAACAGGCCTCTCAGCAGGAAAAAATACGTAGCTTCTTGGATTCCGGTCTCGGATGAATATGACAAACCAACACATTCTAATGTGCTCAGTCAGTCCTTTGCTGAACAATCATCAAGTATTTGGATTGTTTTTCGCGATGGAAAAGAGGCATGAGAAACCATACAAGTGAATCCCTGGTGTGGATGGCCACGATGAAAACTTTCTTTGCATAAGAGGCGTAGCTGTGTGCTTTTTTGGTTCTTTTGAAACGGCGTGACTTGAATGACCTGAGGCCTGCGAAGCCTGGTGGTGAGACGGTCCTGACACTTGACGATGGCAAGCCTCCCATGGCGCCAGACAATTCAGCCGCAAATAGAGCGGATTCCGTGTCGAAGTAAGTATGTTGTCAGTCTCTTCTTGATTCCGTGTGCATTGTGTAAGCGCTATGTGATTTGGATTTTTTGGACATCCTTCCTACCTGGCTTGTCACGCATTTCCTGTTAGTGAGATATCGTTTGGCTTCCACCCTCAAGAAGTGCGTTGCCGAGGACCGGATGCTATCGAAGCGGGCCCTCAAGCCTCGCACCTTTCCAGAGCGGGGAGGCGAAGCACTGCGGTCATGTGTTGGTTTTGACTTCTTGGATTGACACAGCGAATATGGTGCATACGATGAATCAACATGAATACAACAAATATGTTTTTTCTTGGAACCTCTTGGATTTGATCGAGTTCTTCGATCTGAACCTACTACTTGAGTCCTCCAGGTGTCCTGGACAGAGAATCACCTTTGTCCAACGAGGCACCTTCGTCCTGGAAAAAAGGAATGGGCTGGTGTGGCTTCGTCCTGGTCTACTAATGCATTTCATTGAGTTCGAAGGAGTAAAGTGACCGACAAGCCAGACGGCACAAGACAAGACGGCACTCTTCCAGAATCTTCGTGACAAGCCAGACGGCACCGAACGCAAGCACCATTCCCTGCACTGCAGAAAATCAGCACCTTCCAGATGCGTGCTTCTACTCCTTTGCGCCTTCGCTCCTCTCAAAGTCTCGCAGGCTCTTCACCACAAGGACGACCGAAATGATTGGCATTCCTCCAATACCTATTAGCAAGAAGCTACTAGTAGCTCCTGGCATCGCTAGGATCAAGAAGCTACTAGGGCCTACTAGGGGCTTATTTGTTTCCTCTCAACGCCCTTCCGCCATGTGCTGTGTTTTTCCACCACACGCCAGGCTGTGGCTCCCGTGGACCGGGTTCCTCCGTATGTTTCCAGGCGAGGGCGGCAAGGAGCGCCACACGGCCTTCGATGCAAATAGCTTCGATGAACAGCGGTGCCGAGGTACTTGGAACAGCGAGCACGGTGGCTCAAAGAACCGAGGAAGCTTGCGTTTGGCTTGCGCTTTGCCTTTTGACCTAAACCTTTGCAAAGGCAAATTTGGAGCAGAATCGTGTGATCCAAAAGCGCTTGGACGAGGACCGGACTCGGTCTCAGACTTCGATGAAGTCTACGAGAACTTTTTGCAGGAATGGACTCGAGCAGATGTCAACAAAGATGGTGTGGTCTCCGAAGAGGAATTCACCATGGAATTGAAAGACAGGTCCACCGAAGCCAATCGAATGCAAGATCCTTCTCCTGTAGCAACCATTGTTTCACACTTGAAGGCAAGCAAAGAAGAAAGACGAGATTGAAAGGCTTTGGCAGAGGTTTCACCAGTTTGCTTCTGAGATGGGGTCAAGATCCTGACACTGCCCAGGCAGTTTTTGTTTCTTCTTGGGTAGCGGGTAGCAATAAAGGGACAACCTACCGAGGTCTGAAGACAAATTTATGTCGAAAGAAGAGTATTTCCGTTTGGCACGAACAGGCAGGGGTGATGCCGATTGTGTGAAGGCTCATGTCACGAAAGCTAGCGTGCTAGCTGAGTTCTTCTTTGCTTTAACAATGATGGGACGAGCTTTGTGCCCCGTTAGCTCAAGAAACATGAAAGAGTATTGAAACAAAGGTTTCTGTCAGAGGTCCTTTTTGTGTGAGAAGGTTTTGCGGACAACTGCTTCAAGACACAGATGTATGCACGAAAAACCCACAGGGGTGATCTGAAGCTGCTGGTTTGCTGCTCCTCCTGGTCTGCTGGTTTGCTGCTGCTGGTTTGCCGCTGCTGAATTGCTGCTGCTGGGTTGCTGCTGGTTGTTTGCTGGTCCGCTGCTTGCTGCTGGTCGTCTGCTGGTCTGCTGCTGTTGTGCTTGCCACTTATCGCTTTGGCTAGCTGCTAGCTTTCGAGCCCCTCCCCCTGCCTCAAGTTCTGCAAAGGTTATGATCTTGGCACAATTACTCGTGATGACGTGGCCTCTGTGATGACGCCCGACAACATGAAAGGCTCGAGTTTTCATGCGCTATTAGGTTGGAGGCCGTCGCTAGTAGGTGGTTTTTGCACACCGAAGACCTCTATGCTGTACCCAATTTTGCTTTTCCTAGCGCACAGGTCTGGGATATTGGGGCGCAGGGGCGACCTGCCCCCCTCGGAGCTTTGTGCCTGCCTTGATTTGCATAGTGGCATGAGCACAGCGAGACAGGGGTCTCTGAGGCCATGGGTGTGCGAATCAAGAAAATGGAGGCCGTAAATCAAAGAATTTAGCTGCAAGGATTTCTTTGGCTTGTTTGTAACTTATAACTTATGCTGTCTGATAAGTTCCAAAACTGTGGACACTTGAGCAGCACGTTTCGTTTTGCCAGACTTTTTGAGTGTGACGTGTCATTGGCCCAGAAGAAGCAGAGGCTTCTATCTCCAACGCTTCTGTCGATGACTCTGGAGTAAATGCTGTGAAGTTCCTTTGCAGCAATGGCAGTGAGGCCAGGATCAAGTGGACACGAATATTCACACCCACGATTTGCGGCCTAACCAGCCATACCGGGCCATACCGCCGTTTTGACTTGAGGTAGTGGATCATGTCACAACCTTTCCGGGCGATACAACACCTCGACACAGTCTTGGCTGTACTTCAAAAGTGCCGTGAGAACATCTACTGTAAACCTCACCCCAGTTGAACTTCATATTCTGAATACTAACTATATATATATATAGTTTGGCAAAGGCTTTCTGCAATTACGATTGGTTTGTGTTGCATGCACCCAGCAAGCCGCAAGCACAATTGTGCCCCGGATAATTCCTGACACCTCTGTCAGCAGTAACAATTGCCAGTTGCCGGTGCTTTGGGTTGTTGATGTCGTCGCGTTTGGTGTGTGAGGGTGAACGGAGTTTGCATAATGCATGTCATTGTGTGGCAGCAGTATGAATACCCATATCAAAAGCATCATTGAACACAACTGAACACGAAGAGCTGTTTTCATATGTACATATATGCCACCCCCCACCCAATACCCACCTTTTGCGTTAAAAATGACAGACCGACCGTGAATGAATATAGAAAAGCCAAATGATTGATGAAACATTAAGATGTTGCACCTACAGCGTTTAATTGCTGTTTTTATTGGTCCTTTAACACCAATCTGGAATTACTTGTCTCTTCCACAGTCACATTTCTTTTTTGGGCATATAATCCTTTAAACAGAATTATGATGGTTGCTACTCGTATCTCTTTATCCTATTATTTTTATTGGTGCTCAAATGAACATGCATTGTATATATATATACACACATATTCATGATCAAAGTAAGATACCATTACCATTAAAATGATCTCTTCGTTAAAGCTCACATGTTGTTCCTCCATCAATAGTTATTTCTGATAGAATGGTTCCTGGAGGTAGAGAATGAAAAAGACGAACATCATAATAATATAGGAGCTATAGCCGCCAGAAAGAAGAAGTGGAGACAGAAAGAATATGTGGGTTACTTTGTAATTTATGCTTTCTAGCGGATAATTCTCATTTGGTTGACATCTTATTCACCTTCATTTATCTTTTACTATATATGGCTTGTAGAAAGAAACAGTAATAGCAGCATTCGTTTTATTGGATGAACAATAGAAAATGCATGAGAGAACAATTACAATAATATGCATATCATAAAAATGATAGAATTACCATAGATGCACTGGATTTGTATCTTGTCTATATACATCATTCATCTCATTTCCTGAATCTTAACAATGAAATCGCGAATAGAAATCTCTTAAAGAATGAACACCAGTCCTTGAAAGAGAAAAAACACCATTAATCCTAATTTAAATGCTGTTGATTTATTCTATCCTCATACTATTCTATATTGTTTGATATCTTCTTACGACCGCTATTATTGATATCCTATTGGGCAGTTATCTTAGCACACAATCATCTTTTCATATCATACGGTGCCAACAATATGTAGTGAATTATTAATTGGAAAAACTATGTAAACAATAACTGCAAGAATTAACATAGAAAACAACAGGTTTTTCTCCAGATTTATAGTAATTGATTTGTTATTTTGGTATCTGGAATATGTCTTCATTCTATTGGCTTTATTTGTCTTTTAGTATATTTTTCGGCTAGTGCTTTTAATTGTTGGGAAGATATCCTAAAAATAGCTGAATAATCCATAAAATCATTTGTGTTCTTATGGTCTCTCCCTTTCGTGCCTTCTATGTATCATAATTCCTAAAGGACAATGACTGATCATTGTATTTTCTTATGGTACAAATTAACTTCATTATATAGGTGGAAAGATACGATTATAGTAATATTTTGGTTGGTTCATTGTGTTCTTCACTAATGAAGGAGGGAATTAATGAACTTCATATAATTATAAGTTATAATATTTTTTTGGACTTTTTATCCCATCAGCATTAATTCTTTAGCAGAATAAACATATGATGTTGTAATCCTAGAAGTAGTAACAACATCTGCAAAATATATGGTGTTTGTCTTTGCATTTCTATCCCACATATCAAAGGAAATCATCACCCGTATTTTTAATCCTATATTTATATAGTGGTAAGTTGCAAAGATATCGATAAATGACAGTGACAAAGACCAAAAGAAACAGTACAGTAGTGTAAGAAGTAGAATAAGACGGTAAAACGATAATTAAAATAAATGAACGATATAAAGTGAACCAACAATCACAAGGTGATATAAGATGGAGAGAGCATGAATTATGGGATTGTTGGTTCATGAATTTTATAGTGATTACCCCAAACCAGAAATCTATATCCTGCTAGAAGATTCGATGTGTGTTGTCAGCTTAAACTGTGTTGTGAAAAGTGGATGCAAGTGGCCTACTGTCCAGCGCACGGTTTTCACCAGACCACAGTACGATCTCATGATTGAAGGCTGCTGGCTTGAATTTGTTTGCGCAGGTAAGTACGGCTGAGGGACCCGACGGAGACTGGTCAAATTGGACACTCTGCCCGAAAGGCACATTTGAACTGTTGCCAAATTTTGTAAGTTGTTGTCGTGAACATTTTGGACTCTTAGTTGACTGTGGTGCTTGCACGAGAAAGCCTGCAATGCTGCGAGGTCAACGTGTGTATGGTTTCCGTTCCCAAGGTCACAGTTTCAGGCCCGTGTCACATTGTCAAATTCAGGTTATATGAAGCACGGTGGGGTGCTTGTTGAGATCTGCCAGGAAGGGCTTGGACAATGCCGGCATAACAGGCCTTGAATTCAGCTGTCGCCCTGGGCCAAGTTGACCAAGTCGCAGCTGACCAGCTGAACAGCAGGTGCTGATGCCGACCAAGGAAAACCTGACATGAGCGACATCAGCCGCTTGAGCTTCTCCAATTTCTCAAGCTTTGAGGCACCGAAAGTGCGCAAATGTGCTTCCTTTCCTTCGGCGTTCGAATTTTGTCGTGTCTCCAGGTCGCCTGGTCAAAGGAGCTCCGATGTGTTCCAGGGTCTGCGATATGCGGAGCTCAGGCGAATCTGGTGAAGGAGCCGGAAGATCTCGACCCTTCAGAAACATGAAAAAACATATTTCTTGGAGATACATTTTTGAAACGCTTTGCCCTCCAACCTCCTAGTGATGGCCTCCAGTAGCGATGCCCTCCAGTAGCGATGCCCGCCCGGAATCGACATGACCCTTCCACAAACCACCCTGTTCCTCCATCTTCATTCGAGGACGCCAAGGATAGCATGGGCATTGCTGACCTACGAGTGTACTGTTCCCTGCTGGAATTGGGGCTTAGTCTCTCTGAGTGGACCGTTCCCATTCCAAAATTCCGCTCGAAGCTTCCTTCAGCTTCAGGCTTGAGGCATGTGTTTTGACAAATTTTCGCAGTTCTTGCCAAGCATTTGGCGAGAGATAAGGCTGCGAGTTGCCAGTGGACTGTTCGGAGATTTGCACCGATGCAACGCGTGGCATGAAGCTTGTGAAGTTGGAACCTGAGCAGTGCCGACTGACTCAGGCTATCACCTAGGGTTGCCATGGACGACCGAAGGTGCCCAAATTGATCAGCTCCTTTCAACTCCTGACATACACCCCCCAAACAACATACACCCCCCAAATCACCCTTTGGTCTCTGGTGTTTGATGCATCAACGGTAGACTTATGTTACGCACTGTACTTGGATTTAAATCACCCACAATTTGAGATTTGGCAATCGGCTCTTGCCAGAGAAAGCAGAAACTACTGCCAGTCCTGTCCTGGTCCTACTACTGTAGTTTTTATATTCCTGAATCAACGTTGCAGAATGGATTGCAGTTTGCGGTTTGACCTTGCATCACGTGCAGGGCAATGTAAGACATGTTGGTGTCATTGAGGTGCAGAGCTTGCCAGCAGGTGATGGGCGGCAACGCGAGTGAGCCACAAGAGTGATCGAGAAGCTGTGCATCCAAGCTGGGTTGAAAAAAATGCATCCGACTTGCTCAGAATGTTGCTGCTCCTCAGCATCCAACAAAATCAAATGCCAAGAAGCAGTGGAGTGGACTTGATGAAGTGTAACATACATACCACGTACTTGTTGTTTTACGGCATGTCGAGCCGCACTTTTTAGATGCAACGTTGATGTCAGGTGCGAACCCGCATACTTGACACATTTTCGGGCCTACCAGATTGCAGCGTTGGCGGTCCTGTTGGGGATTTTCTAGAACGCACCGTGGCTGAACAATGTGAGAGCTGTGCCAGTTCTTTTGCAGCATACCTGCAGGAATGGGCAGAACACATTTTTGCCTGGTGCCCCGTGGCTCGTCCGTCGGGCGCATAGTCAGACTGAGAAAGTGTGCACGTGCATGTCAATGTGCATGTGAGTGTGTGCGTGGGTGGGTGTGGGTGTGTGTAGAACTTGGAACATAGGTAGCCTTTCGGCTTGGTAGACGTGTCGTCTTCGTCGGCTGCGCCCTCAAAGTCCCCCACTCTTCGACCGTCTATGTTGCCTTCATCGGTGTCGCCCTTGCAGTCGCCTTCTACGTCCACTTCATCGACTCCGAACCTTCTGCGTCGACCTCTTCAACCTTCGTTGGCTTCATCGGCTTCGCCCTCACAGTCCTCCACGCTTATACGCTTGAACCTCTGTCGACTTCATTTCCTCCACGCAGAGAACATCCTCTGTCGACCTTCTCAGTCGACCTCATCCAGACAGCCCTCGAGAAAGTAGCCGCAGTCATGGGGACCTTGGCTCCGGGGGTGTTTCGGGGACCAGGTTTAAAGGCAAAATGGTCTACGGGGACCCGGCTTAAAGGCGGCTTCAAGGCAAAATGGTCTACGGGGACCGGTTTCAAGACAAAACTGATTGTGGGAACCTGGTTTAAAGGTAAATGGTCTACGGCGGGTCGGCTTAAAGGCGAAATGGTTCACGCGCACCCGGCTGAAACATAGTCGCGCCCTTCCCGAGAGGGACCTAGCTCAGAAGCAAAATGTTCTACGGAGATTTTGTTTAAAGGCGAAAAGGCTCTATGGGGACCCGGCTTAAAGGCAATTTAAAAACAACGTGGTCTACGGGCACCTGGTTCAAAGGTAAAATGGTCTACAAGGACCCGGTGTAAAGGCCGAATTGTCTACGGGGACGTCTACGTTGTCTACGCGGACCCCGTTTACGGGGATTGGGTTTAAAGGAAAAAAGTTCGATGCGCGTCAGCTTGAAAGGGTGGCAAGAGAGTAGCATTCGTGCCCCCTGAGGGACCCAGCCTACAGGCAAACATGTCTATGGGTATTTGCTTAAACGCAAAGTGGTCTACGGGGACCCGCTTTTGAGGCAAAATTGTCTACGGGGATCCGGGCTTAAAGGCAAAATTGTCTTCGGGGGCCCGGTTTCAAGACAAAGTTGCCTACGGGTGCATTTTGTTTAAAGGTAACATAGTTTGTGGGAAATATGCCAAGCAGAGCGGGTCCTGGTTCTCTAAACACCTGGCCGCGAAAGCATATGCTTATCTAGTTTCAAGTGCTTCGGCAGACCACAGCACCACGCCTTTAATGAGACGACAGATACATTCTTTTGATATTCGCCATCGTGTTGTAAAGATCAAATTGACTCGGTTTTTCAAAAGGAAAATAGTTACCTTCTGCACCTTGGCGAATAATGTCGGTGAAATCAAATATCTCCACTTTCCCTTTGCATGTAACACCTTTATTGAATAGAGCATTTTCAACAAAACAGGTGCGCCCAAGTCAACAAACAGACAGGTGCAACGGTATTCTTTAGTATGTGCACCAACTGATCATTGAAACAGATAGGTAAAACAGTTCACGGATTTCTTTCAAGGCAATTCTCACAAATGGGAAAGCCACAATGTCTGTTTCTTTGGAGATTGATTTGGAAACGCTGCGAGTCGCGACCAATCTCTAAAATTGACAAACCAAGTAACCAGCGGCAGATCACCCCACAAAACATAGAAGATAACTAGGAAGACTATACCGAAGGTCATGGGGTACTGGTTGAAATGGCACGATTCAATCACATTTTTCTCAAGTAGCAACTTTTTGCATGCTTTTGTTTGTAAGTGGATTAAGTGGAAATTATTCCTTGATTGCGCTGCATGGCAACATAGTATCAACATCATGTTACAGTCGTTTTGTGCACAGCAGAGGCTTGGACCATCCACCTCTACGAGAGCTTCTTTTTTGGTTGTCGCATAGCGGCCTTAAAAGTCATATTCACTTGCGAGTGACATCATTGTATGAGTTTCTATGTTTTTTTTTGTGTGTCTTGCTCGATATTGGAAAATTGGCCAATTTGTGGTGAGTTCACAAACTAGGTATTCCCGTGATCCTCTCAGACTACTTGGATGTGCCCTTCCAGGGAATTGTTGATTGGCCAGCCACTTGCCTTCAATGGCCAGTGTTGAAAGTGCCAGGGCATGGAGAAGGATCATCCGTTGACCTGAGGCCTTCAGCATCAAGTGGCCCGAAAACAATGTTGGACACGAGTTGCTGGAATACCTTCGAGGTATTCCACTGAGGCGCATTGCGGACATGAAACGTGAGCTGGAGGAAGCCGCTTGCTTCTTCGATTTTCATCGAGGCTGGGGCTTGAGCCATCAAACCAATCCATACACACCCTACGGGCGTTACGGGCACTGGATCAAATGGAAGGAAGAGCAAGTTGCATTGGGGACTGATTGCCCTTACGTTGGTCATGGAGACGGCCGGACACTGGAAACTTGCCACCGGAGCTGCTTTGAGAGATCTTGCAACCTTGTCAACTTCAACACACAGGTGAAGGGCGGTGACTGTGTCCTGAGACGCTGCAGCGACCCAGCGCAGCCTTCCCTCACAGGAGGTGCTGATGGCTGGCAGGTGTGGTCAATGGTCAACGAGACCCAGCGTCAGTGCTCACCATACCATGCCATCTTCCGGCAACTCAACCAGCGATACTGGAATCGGCCTGTCAACCATGGGTCCCTTCCTCAGAGACAGTCTCTACAGATTTCACCGTACAAGGTAGAGCGCTTGTCCTACAACACATGAATAACCAGCCAAACTGCGGGTTGGCGTATGGACACTATAGTAGACTGTTGTCCTACGACAGGTCCCACTAAAAGGCCCGTTTCCATTACATGCTGCTAGAGGTTTCCACAGCGACTGTTTGATTCTATGACCATAAGAAGCTACTAGTAACAAGTGCCACGCTAGTAGTAACAAGTGCCTTACTAGTAGTAACAATGTTTGCTTTTAGTTTAAATTTAAGTTCAATTCTAATAGCAAACATTGTTACTACTAGTAAGGCACTTGTTACTACTAGCGTGGCACTTGTTATTACTGTTCGATTCTATGACCATGGAATTCATTGCCAAGGCCCTTTTGGAAGTGAGTGGCTCGTATTCAAGACTTTGCCATGCCAACCTGTGGCAGAAACACTGCACAGTGCTGGGCGCTGGGCGCTGGTGCTCATGATGCATGGTATTACATAGGGCATAGGCCCTGCCTGTTTGCCTCATTCCAAATGGAGACTCTTCGCATCAGCTTCTCTGGAATCTATTCAGTCATGTCTGGCTCTTCTATCTTTACTGTTTTGGATTCAGACCATTTTGCTTGTTGTGTTCACACCACCAAAGGTAGGTCCAAAGGTCGCAAGCGCAGGAAGAACCGCCAGAAAAGGCTGATCCGTGCGGAGCTGAGTGGATCTGGTTTGGACGGTTTGAAAATTCCACTCGTGGCTCTTGCCAGGCCTAGTGAGGGTAGATGGGTACTTATTGTCTCTTGCTGAAGGTATCTCATGGCAGACGGAACGTGCTCCGGCCATGGAAGCTTCGCAAATAGATATATATATAAATAGCTAGTGTTACACTGACTGAGCATGAACAATGAGGTACATCCAAAAGGATACGCGTTGGCGCAACAAGCAGCGAGCCTTGGTCTTTTGCAGCCGTGGCGTCACTGCAAGGCCCAGTTGCCATATGCTTCGCACTCCTCTACTAACCCCTCCTGCAATTTTCACACATCACCTGACAGCTACACAGCTACACCAGCGTTTTGCGAGGTTTCGGCACCTCTGCGACGACATTCGCAAGATGTTGCCGCACCACAAGACGGTGTGCAGCCTCGTTTGGCGTTTGCCCTTGTGCCTCCGTGGGCTCACCGATTCTAGGAGCCGAAGTTTGAGAAAAGATCCAATTTCAACGAGATCAACGAGGTTCGCCGACAATTCAATTTCCAATCAACCATGACATTCTTTGCCTTTTATGTTCATCCGTATCTTGTGTCGCCCACTGGTCGCCAGATTTGCGAGTTGAAGAATTGTAACAACGTGGTTTTCTTTGAAGCTCGGAAGCGCGAAGACTTGCGACTGGACTGCATCGGGGAGCTTAGAAGCACGGACTGCCCTTGGCTCGTGAGCCTGCCACTGGCGCATTGGGGTAGATTTGGCAACTAACAGGTACATGTGGGTTGGCCGAGTTCCTTCCGGGCCCAGCATAAAGTTCCAGGTGCTGTTCCAGTTGTGAACGACGCCTCGACGTTTACCCACCATCAAACCACCATTTGTGAATGACGCCGAGCAGCAGGTGCTCAACGTTCACACAACACAAGAGGTAAGGCTGGCGCGAGGCTCAGATTCATTTGAGAAAGGTCATTCCTGCCCCAGCTATGTAGTGCTCGTTGAAACTGAAGATGGCAAGTCGAAGTCATATCGCATAGCCTGTAGAAGTTTCCAATGCTTCTGTCCTCGGAATGTTTTGAGGAGTTTTATTTTTCTGGGTTGAGGCTGGAAATTGTCTTCTGGGCTCACGCCCAATTCTGTGCCTTCGAATTATTAGTCCTAATATGTCAATGACCCTCGTGGAAGGAAGCAAAGATTTTCTTGAAGGCAACGAAATGTCGCCCGAATACAGACATCAATCGAAGTCCTGACAGAAGAGGGAGCTATATAGATATAAATATATGTATATATACACACGTGCATAGATACGGTACTCTCCGAGTTTCAGGACGCTCTGAATTGAATTGGGGGAAGTTCAGGTATTTTGACAAGAACTTCGGCCAGCTCTCTTACTTGAAGCTCATGAAGGAGTTGTTTATTCAGGTGAGCGATTGGATTGGTGCATGCGTTTGCATGTTTTGTAAATTGGATCGCACAGCAATCTCCTACATTTTACCGAATGAGGTCTTTGGGACTCCTCGGAATCATCCCAAGAGCAAGCCATTTCACGACCACATTATGTGCTTCTATTGGCTTTGCACTAAGTCCTGCCCCCTCGGTTCTTGTGCTCTTTTTTGACTCGTATTGTCAACTGAGGCTTGATCGTAAGATTTGGCCCACAACCCAAGTAGACACCAAAGAGATGAGAAAGAAAGGACCTACCCTCAGCTGAGGTTCAGACATTATCAGATCTCTCCAGAGACACCAGACGACGCGGACAAGCCAGAAAAGCAGGTCTGTGGAGTCTCGTGAAGCTTCTTTTCAACGTGTGCGACCGACCTTCTCCCTTACTGTTTGAGGTTCTAACAGAGATTGGGCCACGCTTCGTCTTGGATCCCATCCGCATTTTCGCTGGGAGTTTCAGTGGACAGACCTTGTGCTGCTGTCCTGTTTTAACGGAACCACTTTTTGTAGCCCATTTTACAATCCAAGTCTGCGGGTGAAAGTGAAAGTGCGTGCTCTATACCCGTGCAGGTATCTTAATCCACACTACATGACCCCTACAGCTTTACGGGTGCAGGCACTACCATGCGCGCTAGTCTCACACCTCACGCTTCTGACGCGACTGGTGAGGCACGAAAGTTGCTGAAGAATCCCTATGTGACATGGCTTGAGAAAGAGACGCAGGAGTTGCGACGAGAGAATGTCCCAGCCATTGCAGCAACCCTGAGCATGTCTCACCAAAGGTGAAGAAGCTGGAAGACAAGGAGAAGTTGAAGCAGAGAAAGGAGGCCGGACTAGCTTGATCAGGTGATCGACCGTGATTAGCTGGGACCATGTGGATGCTTTGTTGTCAGGAGAATGAGCTTTCGGAAGACCCTGTAGATGAGACATTCGAGTGAGCAAAGTGCCTTGGGCTGGAAAGCCTTGAGACTTGAGACATATGAACTTCTGAAGGATAGCAAGCGACATGGGATGCTGACCCGTGATTGTCCTGGGAGTTGATACCTCTGATTGCAAGAGGGTACAAGTCATACTAATACTGTCATACTTGTCAGAAGCACGCTGTACGGCGCACACAGACAGCCAGACAGACAGCCAGCCAGGCAGGCAGGCAGACAGACAGACAGGCAGACCAAATGCATCGACATAGACATACACTTGCACAACAGGACCGCGTCAGAGGCATACCAATTGACTAGCATTGCAAGTGGGTTGAAACACACGTTCGCCAACCCAATTGGAACTGTGGTGCTGTGCTTGTTTGGTTCGCGAGGAGTTCAAGTGTTCGTTCCGGTTGCAAAGCCAAGGTGCTTGAAAGACTGCATCTCATCCGCAGGTCATGGGTGCTGCGGCAAACTGCCTTAGCATTTGCCATGAGTGTTAATGATCCTTGGCCACTTTCGGCCTTGCTTGAAGCAGTTCAAAATGACTCGGTCAAGTGCTAAATCCAGATCGAGAAACATTGTTGCTTTGGCAAACCTGTTGAACGGAGTGAAGCTGAGAGCTCTCTTCGCACTGAAGCTGCTCACACCTCAAACTAAAACCTACAAGACACCCTTTTGCATGAAAGAAAGATCCACACCGCTATTGGATTTGCTTGCCTTATGGTCATTTTCATGGTTGAACTCAAACATCATGGACTCATGGACTGCTAGGAGAGGTAGAATTCATTCTTTGAACTGACTGGATCCTCAATGGAGCCTTATCAGGCTGAAACCGAGACCTGATTTACAAGACCCTGTGTAATTTCAGTTCCCGAAGCTACGCCAATTGCGACGGGGCGTCATGTCGCATTCAGAGCTCGCTTCCCCGGTGGAGGCCCGTGCCGCAGCGGTTGCTCCTGCTCCTGCTCCCGCTGCTGCTGCTGCTGCCACTCCCCAAACCTGCAATCACGGTTTAACGGTTCTACTTCTCAGTATGAACGATTTGGAAGGAGAATGGACAGAAGGAAAGAAAGAAGGAAGCGGAATGAACGACAGATTCCTTGAGCAAAAACAACACAAAGCCATGTAAAAGTGTAGCAATAATTTTGGAGTCATAAAGCTTTACTAGTGTTTGGACTGGCCAGTTCTGCAAGCCACCAAAGCCCCAAACGGACAAAGCTTGATGGCCATACAATGAGGTGCCAGAGGTTCCATCAAATCTAGCACCATTAGTGGCAGTACACTCGTGAATCTGCAGCTTCATTGCCGGTGAAGTATGTTCTCCAACCGCCTGGCCGATTGAACGCTCGCATGCTCGGGGGTGTACACTGGGGTGGGGCTGGATACGGCCGGTGTACACCCAAACCCTTCTGCAACATCCCTGGTCCTGTTACTTTGTAATTGGAGGTGAATGTTCATGGCTCAAGTGTGAGCCGCAACAAGGCCTGGGTTGGGTAGAAATTGAGGGCAGTGCTCCTTTTGATTTCTTGCTGGATGTGTGGCGCATGTGCGCGCAGTTGAGTGGTAATAGTGAGGTGTTTCCACTGGCACTTTAGAACCCACTACTCCTCCCGGGGTTTGGGACACGTGTGCCCCTACTTGTGTTGAAGAAGTGGAAGAGGGTCTGGTGGTTGACACCATACCTTGGTCCCCTGCCATGGGCCCTTCATTGACCCGGAAACATTTGCAAAAAGATGTTGACGCCGACGCAGGGCACGTGCCCTAGTAAGGGCCCAATGTGGCTGCATGCAAGCTTGGTGGTACCATCGCCCTTCCAGGATTTGCGAGAAAGTTCGACTCCGTCCGTTGGAGTCTCTTCAGCGGTCTTGAAGCCGCCTTGAAGCGCTTCAGCGTCTTTGTTTTCGAAGACGAATGGTTTGTATATCCTTCTGCCTATTTTAGATGTCGGTGTGCTGCCTACTGGTTCGGCAAATTCAACGCCTTCTTAATTCGTCACTATATAATGTTTTTGGCGGCGTTGGGAAGAACTGGCCACGGGGTCGTCCCTTGCTTCGATTGGTTGGGATTTCCACCGGAGCTCTTCCGTTGGCAAGGCTTGACAAACTTTTGCGGCTGCTGAGTGAACTGTCTGAGTCTGGACGGTCGGTAGACAGAAAGCTGGTTGAACAGTGTATTGGGTTGCTCCTATGGTTTTGTGGGGGTGCGTATTGGCTGAAGCCTTGGTTGGTTACACCCTCTCTACAAGCTTGTTTACAATCCCCGCTGCGACTTTCGATCTCTGCGGGAAGCGCTGTCACCTACCCTATGGGTTGGCTCCTCTTTGCCATTTTGCGACGTTGCTTCGGGATGGAAACTACATTCTGCAGAAACTGTCTTGCGTCGGATTTAGATTCTCCAGCGATCCAGCGCCCCAAGATGAAACATGGCTGCAACTACCAGCATTGTCGGGTAAAAGTCTGCCGAACTTGGGCTGCTCAACTCTTTGCAACGCTGTGCGCGTGCAAGCAGCAGCGCCGCGGCGGTTTTTGGACGTGGATGGTGGTTTGCCAGCAGCAGACGCATTTGCAACGGCGGATGCGGGAGACGTAGGTGGGTGGTGGATCGCTTGTGGCGGCGGTTGCGTCTGATCCAAGGTGCGATGGTTTTCTTTTCAGGTCAGCAGAAGGAACCTTGGTTCAAAAATGGAGGTTCTGCTGCTAGCCAGGGTCGAGGTCTCGCAGGCGCAAGACAAGGTAGTGTTGAGGTTCCACTAGGTCCAGCCGCGGCAGGCGGAGCAGTTGGCGACGTCGGAAACCTCTCGTTTGTCATTCAGCAACTGGTTACTGGTGTTGCCAGTCGGGCGTTGCCCTGTTCCCAGTGGGAGAGAAGAACTCTTGAAGCAGGGGCAAACCGGAGGGCTTTGACCCTGCTTTGTGGTGGAGTGTTGATCTTCGGGGTGTCTTGGAAAGCCCGTGGCAGTAAGGGATATTGAAAAAACCGCACTTGAGGCCTTGTTGCCGACCCGTGCGGTCGGGTTCGTGTTTTTTGCATTGGAGTAGAGCTGCTTGAAATTAAAGCAGTACGTTTTGTGTGCACTTGCAGGCTATCAAGCATGCGATTGTTTCTTCGTTTTGTTTGCTTTTGCTGTAGTCTATTGACCAATGGAAGTCACTTGAGAACTCTTCGAGTGGGGCAAGGCTTCTTTGGTGCCCGCGTGAATCAACCCTTTGGTTCGGATGGATCCGGCAGCAGTCAGGCAGGTGCTGCCCGGCTGCTGCCCTGTGTTGACTCACGCGGTGGACAAAAAAGTGTGCTTCAGTTTCAGAGGAGCTGGGTGTTGCTAGTAGGGCCTTACAAAAACCTGGTAAGCGCTGTCAGACTTTCCTTGGACCAAGTTCGAACTCTAGGTGACGCATTGAAGCTCATGTTATGTGGGCTTAGCAAATTAGTGCAAGATTTTTTGAGTTTGCGGTTGAGGTGCTGCGGGTTGCTGTGGAACCTCATGGCCCGTGCTCTCTGGACGCGCCCCTCTGCTTGGAAATTGACTTCCGCACGACGCTGAACATTCAGGGTCAGTGGCAGCTACGATTTGTAGCTGACTTGGTCTACCATCAAAAAGCAGTAGACCTTGTGCTAGACAGCCAAGAAAGCAGTGCAAACGAAGCCAGTGATCAAATACACCATGTTGAACTCAAAACAGCGGGCTTGCCACTTCTTGGCTTGCCGGAATCCGCTTTGGAGAGCCTTGGTATTCTGGAAGCACGACTTGCTGGAAGTGATGGGACGGAGTTTGCACTCGTCCGCCTTGTCACAGATGTGCGACGAAACGGAGATCAGTGGCAGCGTGGTGTTCTCGATCCATTCAGGTGAGGCCAAAAATCGTCCGCAGGGAATGGAACGTGTGACCCCTTGACCAGCCGGCTTGTATCATAGCCCATGCAACAGCAAGACCTGCTGCATGAATCATACTTTTCGCTGCTGGCTGTTTATAGCTCCGCATTTGGCTACACCTGTGATGGCAAACCTTGTAGTGAGACTCTAGTTTTGCACAAATACAGCGTAGTATTCCTTTCCAGCTTTGCAGATAAAAGCAAAGTCCCAGTCAGATGCAACATGTTTTACATAGAATATGGTGTTTATTGCATCTAGAAATAGAGGACATTTGGAAATTCTTTACGCCAACAGAAAACGAATGTAGAAAACACAAATCTAGGGTCTGAAGCCCACTCCTTTCCTCAGCAAACTTACAAATCTCGACTATCAAACTACGACCAGAAGATATGATGAAATACGATAAACACGAACAGGAAAGCTACATTCGCGTGCAATATTCTGAGCCATGCAGTGCATAGGGCGAGCTCTGTCATTGTCTGGAAGATTCGTTTCTCAGATGTCCCGGGACGTCTCGCATTTGGCAAGACCGAGATACGGTGGACTTTTGAATGCGTCAATGCTGCCGTTCTCGAGCCGTTGGTCATTTTGCTTGACCGAAGTGCAAATGATGGCACAGATGGGACGGGTGCCACTGGCAGCTTCGAGATCACAAACTCCACAGTTGCCTTTTAACCTGCGAGCTTTTTCAACAAGGACTGGACCAATCACACAGCTTATGATGTGTCTCGAAACCTTGTATGTGGCTGAATGTGAAAGGAATATTGGAGGAAGGCTCTTCTACAAGAGACGGCCGAAAATGGTGCCTTGCTTGGATTTGGACTGCTTGAGTAACCTGCTTCAGGCACTGAAAGTTCAATGCCACGACCACCGCCTCTTTCGAGATGTTTCTTAGGATAAATGCCATGATGCTCGTAGCTGTGTCCCTATGTTTCAGAATTTTTAGACACCGAGTCGACACCGAGGTGCCCAAATGGAAGTTCAATCCGCGATCTAAATGGCTGGAAGGTGCTGGAAACCGGAAGGGTGTCTGCACAAAGGCTCGCCACATGAAACAGCACAGCAATACACAGCACTGATTAAATTATGAGATGTGTCGGATGTGTTGTTACGTACATTGGATGAACATACATTGTTGGGTTGAATTTCAGGTCTTCATCCAGTCTCCAAAGAAACCGAACTCGGGCCAGAAGAAGGCGCTGGGCCGCACAAGGTGATAGGGATGTTATTTTGTTGGGAGAACAAGTCTCTGTTCTGATTCGGAGAGAAGGCATTGTGCGCAAGTCTCGTCCAGGTTTGTTACGTGCGCCTCTCCAATGGGCGTGTTGTGAAGGCTCAGGGGCTTCACGGTGTATGCAATGTACATGAATTAATTGATACGGTGATACAGTGATACAGTATGTCTCTTCAAGCTTGTCTTGCGCAGGCATACATTCCTGGCCAGGGTCACAACCTTCAGGCAAATGAGCAAGCAATCCCGGACCTTGCAAGAAATACATGGACTTTGGTCTTTTTGAAGTGCTTTGTCCTGACCATTCTTGTTGCAGGTGCACTCGGTGGTCATGGTCCGAGGGGGTCGCCGAAGAGAGCTAATCGGTGATGCCACCATGCCCTTTTTTGACTGCACACAGTGTTTTCTTGCTGTTTCTATATAGTGGAAAGACCCATGGCAGGCTGCAACCTGACCTGTATGAGGGGCCAGTACGACCTTCTTCCAGTGAAGAATCGCGGGTCTGACCCTTTTCTCACTGCAACTTGAACACAGCTCAGCCTTGGTGAGCTACTTGAACTCAAGAAGCAGAAAGATCAGAGTTTCAGGAGCAAGCGCTCGAAGTATGGTGTCAAGCACCTTGGCAGAAAACATGTTCAGTAGTGAAACCACCAGGCATGGACCATGAACAAACTGGTCAGGCGGCCGAATCTGGAGCCAGTTCGAGCGCGGTGGAAGAAGCCTGAGCATGTCAAGAACCGGACGACCATAGTCGATCGACGTCTACACTTCTACAGGCAGAGGGGACCTGCACGCAAACACAACAAGCGAACATAGATATGTGAGCATGGCAGGACTGGAGAGATGCTTGATGAGAATGCCGATCTTTCCTCCAATAGGTTTCTGTTTGTGCCTCAGAAAAAGAAGAATCATTAAGGACGCTAGTAGGAGCAAAGGGCATCGCTACTAGGAGCAAGAACGCTACTAGGGCCTAGGGGCTCCTGGCCATACTCCTAGTAACAAGAAGCTATTAGGGGCTCCTGGCCATACTACTATGAGCACGCACGCTACTAGGGGCTCCTGGCATCGCTACTAGGAACATTCTTACTACTAGTAACAAGAAGCTATTAGGGGCTCCTGGCCATACTACTAGGAGCAAGGACGCTACTAGGGGCTCCTGGCATCGCTACTAGGAGCATTCTAACTAGTAACAAGAGGCTATTAGGGGCTCCTGGCCATACTACTAAGAGCAAGGATGCTACTACAGTAGGGGCTCCTGGCATCGCTACCAGGAGCATTCTGACTACTAGTAACAAGAAGCTATTAGGGGCACCTGGCCATACTACTAGGAGCAAGGACGCTACTAGGGTCTCCTGGCATCGCTACTAGGAGCATTCTTACTACTAGTAACAAGAAGCTATTTGGGGCTCCTGGCCATACTACTAGGAGCAAGGATGCTACTAGGGGCTCCTGGCATTGCTACTAGGAGCATTCTTACTACTAGTAACAAGAAGCTATTAGGGGCTCCTGGCCATACTACTAGGAGCAAGGACGCTACTAGGGGCTCCTGGTATTGCTACTAGGAGCATTCTTACTACTAGTACAAGAAGCTATTAGGGGCTCCTGGCCATACTACTAGGAGACGCTACTAGGGGCTCCTGGCATCGCTACTAGGAGCATTCTTACTACTAGTTACAAGAAGCTATGGGCTCCTGGCCATACTACTAGGAGCAAGGACGCTACTAGGGGCTCCTGGCATCGCTACTAGGAGCATTCTTACTACTAGTAACAAGCAGCTATTAGAGTCATTGTTTGTGGCTGTTTTTGAGCGAGGCCTCCACGGGTTCCAAGCATGACTCTACGCCGTCCAAAGCAAAAGACGTGCAGACCTTAAGCAAACAAAAAGGAGTGATGATGTGAGTTGAGCGAAACGAACAGAATAGATTCTGAGGACGTGAGTTGGCTTGAAGCCTTGACACGGCGACAAAGAAAAGTGTCAGGCTTTGCCTTTTTGATCAGGCAAACAGTGAAGGGTATATCAGTATATCATTGATCATGGTGTTCTGCATTTGAACAACGTATTGGCAGCTGTTTCTCCTAAAGGCTTGGGCCACAAGAAAGGCTCTATTCTTGGTAATTGTTTTGCGTACGTTGCAGGACATTTGCCTATGCAAGCATGGTAACATGGGTCTTTCCTTTTTGGAACCTTGATCCTTGTTTTTTAGCTGAGAACACAACTGTCAAAGCTTCACATTATTTTGCATCACTAAGCGCGGGAACAGACTCAGATCAAATTTGCATCCTTGGCGCATGCCTCGCTTTAGTCTCTGAATATGGCCACACATGGACGATGCCGGGAATGAAGGCACCAATCATGAAATCCGTTAGCCCCATTTATCTTAACCATGTTTCTTGAAGCCTCCCGTATCGGTAGGAGATTCGACATGGAAAGGCTTGTCAATGAGGTGAAAGATGGTGGTCATGTTTGTAGCTTTAAAGGTGACACGTGAGTGAACAAGATTTTATATGTGTTTGTGTCCTTCATCAATCCTCATGTCAAAAGCTTCTTTTGTCAAAAGTTGATTGCTTCTCATGTAATGGTAATACCTGATGCAGTAAAAACCAATGCACGGCATGTGGGGTGCACCTGCATCGGGAGTTTTCATGGCCAGCCTGTGAGGAGAAGCTAGGAGAGCATCCAGCTCCAGCAGTGTCCTGGCAAAAATAGGCAAAAGGGAGACAACAAGCTGCAAGAAGTCAACCGTGTGGTTGTACTTCTATATAAACACATGCTCATGGCATTGATGTGTTTTTCTCATGACTCGCCAGCTTGTGGCCGATACGTGTTCATGTTTGGTAAATTCTACAGTGCTGCCACATGCATCTCTTGTTTGAAGTCAACCTGCCCGCAGTATGGTCTGTGCAGGTTGCAAGCAGAAAGAAGAATGGACTAGAGAACCAATTGCCTTCGTATTTGCAAAGTTGTACGGCTTGCAAAGCAGTCATGTGTATTGAATGAGGCTGATGACCCTGTCAACTACCCTAGCATGGTGTGCTACCGATTGCTACTCATATCGTTCTTGACTATTGACCCTGAACATGTACCTATACCCTACCATTGACGCATATAGCCACACCAGATTGTTGATTTTTGCATATATATTTGGCACGTAATGACAGGAATGATAGAATTAAATCTACGACAATCTATGACCCATGTGTTCTCTCACCTTGCCTTGAGCGAGGTGGAGGTGGCGGCTTGCCAGTGAAGCCGGTAAAGCGCCTGTCGCAGGCGGCAAGTGACAGCAGCGGAGATTCGCCAAGGCCCTTGAGAACTGACAGAAACTGAAGCAATGGCATTTGAACACTGCAAAATAGGGATTTTCAATCCATCTCGACCTCATCGGATTGTGGTCGATGCAGAAGTTGAAGCTTTACTCTCCAATGGTCTCATTAAAAACAAACAGCAGTGACAGATTTCAATGGCCTTGCCTAGCATGCTTTTGTTCCAGCCTTTGGTGGCAATTCGTATTGTTATTTTGATTCCTTTTGGCACACATAATGTAATGCTTCAGCAAGAAGAAGAGCTCCAGCTTCACTTGACCATTCAGAAATTGGCTTTAAATTTGAGCATTCTCTCAAGAGGAGAAGACAGAAGATGGAAGAATGCGTCATTTGAATATGTTTTGCTTTTAGAGAACCGAAGAAGAAAGGGAACACCTGATTCTAAGAGGCTAAGACAAAGACATATAATTTGTGAAGTTTCCAAAAAACTCTAGGAACCAAATTGTGCAAGTGCTTCTTCAAGGGAGCTTCCTTGAAGAAGCGTGAGCTATCCTGCGTCCAGTAGTTAGTAGACTTGTACTTGTAGTTAGTAGCTACCTGTAGCTACTACTAACTAGCTACCTACCTCACGGCCTACACCCCCCCCGCCCGGGCAAAAAAAAAGGTCGGTAGAAAAGAAAAACACCGGTCTTCCTGGATTCCTCAACAAACCCGAGAGAAAAACCCCGCCGAACACGCCCAAGGCGTGGCGCTTCTCCTCGCGAGGCCGGGCGCTTCTCGTCGCCTTGCTCGCTCTGGGCGTCGCTCCGTACGAAAGGCCGAGGACAGACGGAAGCCTCACGGCAAGACAGCCACAGAAGCCATTCAGGCAGTGAGTGGCAGTGACACATGCGCGCAGCATTGCTTGATAGATTGTGACAGTAGTTTGTGGCCGGGATTACCTTCAATCAGGCAATTCCGCAAAGACGACGAGGCAGAATAATTCATTAAACACAGCAACTCCTGCACAAAAGACATTTTCAAGTTTCATCTCCATCTAGCCGCCTATGACTTTGTTGGGAGCATGTATCAAGTTTGCTTAGTCCAGGTGCTTCAGAGGAAACCTCCAGTCCAAGTGTTTCACGGACCCCCTCTCGTGGCAAGAAGCTGCTCAACGGCAAGCCGCCCAGAAAGCGGTATCAATCATGAATGATGCCCCTAGTAGCGTCCTTGCTCCTAGTAGCGATGCCAGGAGCCCCTAGTAGCGTCCTTGCTCATGCTTGATGTTTGGCGCCTCTCCCTTTGCCAGGGAATGACCGAACGCCTTCTCCCAAGGCCACATATTTGCCCTGCTCTCTCAATTCTCATGCCATTCAGAAAAAAGAGAGAGTCGGAAATGTCGTCCAAAGATTGTGAGCTGAGAGACGCTTGAAAGAGAGCTGAGCTCGACCAGGAAGGTGCTTCCAAAGGTGCTCGAGCTTTGAGCGCTCGAGGAGTCGATTTATTGTTTGTTTTTTACTTGTTTTTGTATTTGCATTTGGATGATGCGGTACTCCTGCATCACAACCATTCATCTTCGAAATCGTCTCTTCACTTTGCACATCTATTGGTTCTTAAAGACTTGAACTTTCCGATGGAAGGAGAACGTTCAAACACCTCGCCAGAGACAACCGAGCAAAAGGACGGGTGCCTATTTATATATATATATATACACATACTTTCGAGACGCAGACGGCTGCACTGATACCAACATGCATACTTTTAGTGCTGGATGTTGGAGCAAGAAGACGAGGCGCAGTCAAGGCCGGCCTCAACTAGTCCTTTGCGCGGGATGTGTGGTGCTTGATTCGTTGGTTTTGCGTTCTCTTTGTTGGCATGTTCTAGCTTCTAAGGCATGTCCGGAGTGCAAGCCCTGTGGCGTCCACAAAATGTAGTTCTTTGGTTGCACCCTTTTTGACCAAAGGCTGTAGCAAGTCCTTCTGATCTTCCCGATTGGTAGTCTTCCCCGCACAAATCCCAAAACTTGGTAGTCAAGAGGATGCTGTTTTGATTGGTCTCATAAGACGGAGATGGACAACTTGAAGGAAGTACGTGTAGGGTTGTGGTTCTTTTTTTGTAAATTAGATTTCGGGTGCAATGATTGGATGGTTTCGTGAGAACTATTGAACAGAACCTATTCTACTCACGTACAGGTGGTGTAACCAGCCACCAAACTCCATGCTGTCATGCTGAACGGGTCGATTGGACGTTGAAGTTAAGGCAACTTCATGACAGATTTTGCGCGCTGGATTCAATCGCTTGGCTTCTGATGGCCAAGGTAAGGAGCGAGAGAAGATTGGTCGCGCTCGTGCAGCAGCAGCTGGGGTCAAAAAGCCGCCGGTGGAAGCTCCAAAGTCAGTCACAGGCTGCGGCACTGAAGCTGTGAGGGCGGCTGAAATCTTAAATTTCATTGACGTTGATTTTGCTTGAAGCACCATATATCCGATATTATCCAATCTATTCCAATCTGATATACTATATACAGTACTGTAACCAAATGGTTCACGATGTAGAAACGACCTTGAACGGTTCGCGGCTTGCTCTCAATCTGCACGAGGCAGTTTCCTTTTGGAGCAATCATTGGCGTCGAAAGAGCTGCTTAACAAGCAAAGGCTGCACCCAGAGTCTTAAGACTAGTTCTAAAAGAGCTTCATTAGTTTTCGGCAAACTTGCCTACTTTAGAAAGTGATACGAAAGCCCATTAAGTTTTGCCGCTCACAGCTACACTTGGGCTTTAACGCTTCCCACTTTGAAGGAAGGAGTGGATGGCGGCTGTGAAGAGAACGCAGGCATGGTCGCGTGTTGAAGGGGCGGTGCTATCCTTAAACTCATCTGAAATCTGAGGATTCAACTGCCAAATATGTTGCGCAGAAGCGCATTGCAGCTACAAATCCGAGCGTTGCAAGTGAGGCAAGGAGACTAGAAAGTTACACATATTTGATCGTATGTATTTTCTGTGAGAAATGGGTGTGCTTGGCCAGGCGCACGAACGAGCTCAGCTGATACGGCGTGCTCAAGAAGACAACTGGCTGGATCACCTCCGTGCTGAGGAATTGAATGGGTGTTCATAACGTCAATTTTTACTTTACTCTTCAGCAGTCTGCCAATGTTTTGGGTTGTAATTTCTTCCCCGTAGCAGTAGCCACCAACATCCCGAGGCAGCTTCACGTAGCTTCAATCATTAGAGCGTTCTCTGATGGAGCTGACGATTCTTGCGGCTAAATGATGACAACATGAAGAAGAGACGAAGCTAATCTGTGACTAGTATATGCTTGGGTGGTAGCAGAACATCGAGGTTGTTGACCTAGTTGCAGGACCTTTCAGGTCATAGTTAAGTTTCCCTAAAAATCTAGAAACCAAGTCATTAGTGCGAGCTATCCTGCATCCAGTAGTTAGTAGCTTGCTTGTAGCTACTAGCTACCTACCTCTCCTGGCGGCCTACCCCCCCGCCCGGGCAAAAAAAAGAATCGCCAAATTGGGAGGAGAGCAAAGCAGAACCTCGCTCCAAGACGCCACCAAAGGCCAGATCGCAACCCCCCATGCCAAAGTCGAGGCCAGGCTTCCCTTTGAAGTTCTACTTGATGCTTTAATGCTGTATGCATTTTATGCATCTTGAACAGCTTTCTTTAAATGCTTTTACAGCTTTATGACTCCGTTTGGTTTTAAGCAAAACCCTGTTGCA